ATTGGTAATTCACGTTAAACATTAAATAACATAAAACATTATTCTTCCGTTAAATTTTATATTACATTTTTACAAATATCTTTAACTCCGTCTTCTAATAATTTTAATTACGTATTATTATCCTTAATATCAATTCAGAATTATGATAGTTTATCCAAGTAGGTAATCATAATTAATAATATTTAAGAATCAGTCTCCACGACCATCAAATGTATCGTTATCACCAATTTATTAAACCAAATTTAAAACCAACTGTAAATATATCACAATAGTCTTTATTATTATCGATGGTCATGCTAAATAAATAAAAAATATAACGATAAATGACATATTTATATTAGTATTAGCAATGGAAATACTAAAATCTTAATTTAAATAGTTAAAATATTATATTTTTATTGAAAAAATATAAATACTGTTATACACATTACACTATAATAATTGTGTGTTATTAAATAATAAAAGATTTTACTTAATTCTTAATTATTTCTTTTGTTATTCTTTATAATTTAATGGCTTAAAACATTTCAAAGCGTTATAATTATAATAAAATTATTGTATAAACAATGAGTTTAATACGTAATTCAAAATGTTTATGAATTATTATTATTTTTTAAATTTTGGTAAAAACAGATGAAACTCTTTATTTATTTAAATGTTACATATGAAACATGTAAGTATATCAACCATTAAAATGCCACAATCAAAAAAATGGCCAAATCATCCCATTATTGACTCGATATGAACATGAGATCACAATTAACGAACTTAAAATTTATTTATTTATCTATAGTTGGTAGATGTACATTAATCATTATTAATCGATTTAAAAAAATACAAAAAATGTATAATATTTAACAAAAATTAGTTTTCATATTTTTTTAAATATAACTTAATACATAATAATAGAAATATATTAAACAGAATAAATATTAACAACAATTTTATTATACCTATAATTATAAATTTTATTTTAAATTTATTATTTTATATAATAATAATTTTCAAAAATAATTCATTTTTATACTTAAAAACTTGCATTTAAAAATTGAAATATGCATTAAGCTAATCATGACAATGATTTTATAATTTTCAATTTGTATTGATTCTTTAATTATTTTACAAATAATATATAGTATATAAGCAATAGTTTACTAATAAGTCATAAACATTATTAATTGATTATTTTTAATTTTAATTAAAAATAGTATAGATACAATGTAGAATCTTAATATAAGCAATAATTAATTTTTGTTGTACTTTATATTTATATATTGAGCAACAATTGTTATTTCCATTAATTAATGTAATAAAATGTAAGTAATAAGAGAATAAGACTATATTACAAGTTAGTAAGTATAAAGAATAAATATTGTATGGTACTATTATATAGTAAATACTTATTACTTGTGTGTACATCCTACCTTTAAAATATTGTAAATATCTATAGGAATATTATAATAAATTACTTATTACTACCTATAGTATATTTGCACCATACATGTTACAAAATTATCAACATCATTCAAAACAAAACTAAGTAAATATTCAAATTTTTACCTTAACAAGGAATAATTTGGCAAAAAAATGTATGCATCAGTATACATTTAATGCTATTAAAAATGTAATTTGCTTATTTTAAAATACTTAGATTTTATTTTATTTTGTTAATATTATTAAATTAGTTAAATTATTCTCACTATATAAATTTTCTATTTTCTATTTCAAATATAGGTAAGTACAGTAGAATCTCGGTAATCCGACACATATCAGACCACGCTACTGCCAGATTAGTAGGGAGTTCACAAAAAAACGTATTTTTACTTATTGAATTTTACATTTTTACTCGTATTTAAAATTATTTAAAAATCTTTTAGGTTGAGAGCAGTTTTCTTTTTGTTTATTAGGATTTAATCTGTTATTATTTAGTTTTATCTAACGGTTTATCGTTTACGATAGTAAATTTATATATAAATACATATTGGTAAATATAGGTTAATACAGCCGGATTACTGGACGTATCGGATTATCGAACGGCCGAATTACCGAGATTCTTCTGTACTAGTAAAACAAATAAATCTAATTTATGATTTTTTTTTTTTTTTTTGAGGTAGCCTTGTAAATAATCCGATTAACAAATTAAAAATTGATATAAATATTAATTTAAAATATCATATTTTTAATACCAACAGAAATAAAAATCAACGATAATAGATTATAATTTAGTGTAACTAAATAGATAACTAATAACTTGTACACATATAGTTGTTATATAAAATGTATAATTTATTTAGATACCTTATCGTAAAAATCCGGTTTCAACAAAATTTATGTATAAATTATTTTGTAGAATGTAAAAGTAAAAAATTTCATTTATTTAAGTTCAATGTATATTGATGAACAAATAATGAGTAATAGATAAAACGCCCTTCTAAATTAAAAATATAATTTTAATCATTTTAATCTTCTTATATTCTGTAGATTATACTAATATTCCAGATTCGTGACCAAAATCTTATAATATTAGCTTGATAAGATATAAAATTACACATTGAAAATAAATCGTAAAATATCAAATTCACTTTTAAAAGTACTCATTACCTATTCAATCATATCACCATATATCTATAGAAAAATAAAATTAGAAAAAAAATAACTAAATGAAATAACTATATAATTTATAAAATTATTAATATAAGTTAAGTTCAAACCTAGTACTTTTATTATGTAAGGCTCTTATTGGTATTTAAAGAATAGTTTTATTATCTTAAACATATGTTAGTTGAATATTAAAATGACTAGATACTATCTAACTACCTTAAAAGATATAGGACGTATAAAAAATAACTAAAGTTTAGAATATAACGGATTTGTTTTAAAAATAATATGCTGCATGAATAGAATAATGTATTTCGATTTATTGATGTAAAATATACAATATTAGAATATTGTGGAAATGTAAAAAAATTTTAGTTATCATTTTATTACGATATACTAGAAACTATTACCGAATCTGCAAGCTAGTGCTAAAGCTAGCATTTTGTACATCTGTTTTTATCTCTATGCATTTTTATGAGTCAATGGCATGTTATATTTTTGGAATATTGTAATTGTAAATATGTGTCATGATTAAATCTATACGAACTATAAAAATATTAAAGCCAAATTATTTTAACAATTGTATTTTGTTTTTTTTTTTTTTTCATAATCAATTTAACACTTTTATACATGATACGTATTTTTATACAGTTTACTAAGACTTTAAAGTTTTCTATTTTCTAATGAATTTATACAATTTGTTTAATTTAAAAAAACTAACCTGCAAAAAATAAATAAACACACGCCTTTTTGATATATTTCTGTTGTGTTTTGCAGTTTGCATTAAATTAAACAATATTTATGTTTCATCACGAATCATATATAGAGTATTGCAATGCCTACTTATTATTACGATCACGATGAAATTAATAAAAAAACTACGTAACTTGTACACCTAATTATATAATGCCTATTATTATTCAACTAACAACGGTATGTTAATAAAATGCATTTTATTTTTATCTTTAAATCTTACAGAAACTTAAAATCGTTAGTTTTAAATTTTATTCTATAATAAATTTCTGTACAATAGAATAATTTTTTTTTTTTTAAATTATTATACACAATCTGTAATTATTATTTTACAATAAGCGTATGCGATGGAGATAATAAATAACATGGCTTAAGAGACAGGAGATAAGAAGCCACCCACTGGAGGCACTTTTAATGTTAGAAGTTTGTTTTTAAAATGTTAGTAAGAGAGAATGAAATTGATAACAAGGAGGAGTAAGAATTAATAAAATAATTTAAACATAATAACTATGGTCATATTAAACCATGGGTTAGTGCATACTTTTTAATTACAGCTTATTAGTTATTATCCGTGTAATCAAACATTTCTACTAAACTTTAATTGTTATATTCAACTCAAGTATACACTATAAACTCCAAAACTATATATTATATTTATAAAATTATGATGACATTTAAATAGGTATGGATACATTTTATTTATATATTTATTTTTCGTCCTATTTAAGAATTTTTTTCAAAAACAATAAATCCTACTGATATTCCTTCGTTATAATGCGCTTGTGTGATAAGTAAATGTTGCAGAATGGTTAGACACTGATTACGCTTAGGAGGATATCGTAATATCTGTAATTTATTTTGAAAATGGTTTTGCACAGGACAAACTTTACACGAGAAAGTACTTATAGTAGTCTAACTAAATTTTGATCTTACATATAGAAAAAATGTATAGTATACGACATGTCAAAAGTTATATATTTTTGATGACTTAAATACAATATTAATTATTTATTTGTGTAAATTATTTTTGTTTTTTCTTTTATTTATTGAAAATCATTATGCTTTGATATCAATAAAATAAAAACAATACAATGAGATAAAGTTCTCTTCTATGTATTGCAAAAACGTAATAAATCTACTGCAAATAGTATATTTGTAAGCTCGTCCCGCGCAAAACCGTGTTTCTACATAATCTCATATTATTACGTAATAATCATCGTTATTACTGACATGAAACCGCATAATATTTTCAAAATTGCATTAAAACAGCTGACTATAGTCAATCCTTTTAAATGATGGGTGTGTTGAGCCCTCTTAAGAGAACATTACTCATGTATGTGTTGTCTCCGTCTTATAAACATATAGCATATCACATTTTTGTTCATCATGATTGTTAGTTTTTAGAGCAAATGATCTATTATCAAAATTGAAGATAAGAACATTACATGTGTCAAAGCATCGGCTATTTTCGATGTTTTAAACTAACAATACACAATCGATTATAAGAAATATAAATTTGCTATTCGAAATTTTTTTTTTAAACTGGACACAACACATGAATGGATAGTGACCTCTCGAGAGTAATACAAAAAAGAAAATGACTAATTTCAACAGACTGCGACCTCAATGAGACCGTCACTGGACGCGAAGAAAAAAATGCCATATAATATATAATAAAAACATACTACGCATCTTCATGATCGTTGATTACATTTTCATTTTCGTGAAGTTGATGCCATTGATCTTTAATCATATCTGACGCTTTTTCCGCAATCATTATGGTTGGTGCGTTCGTGTTTCCCCGAACGATAGTGGGCATGATAGAAGCGTCTACCACCCTTAGACCTGCAACCCCGTACACTCGCAGTTCCGGATCGACGACGGCTTCCTCGTCATATTCCGGTCCCATCTTGCACGTGCCCACCGGATGGTATATAGTGGCCGTGTACTCCATGGCTATACACGCCCAATACTCGTCCGTGCCAAACTTATATTCCTTGCAAGCCTTTGCCGGTACGTCGACTAGCATGGCACCTATTTTACGCATTGCTTCCGTGTTCACCAGATTTGCTCCGATTTTCATACCTGCACATATTATATAATGTAATATTATATTATCGTGTAACATGCGATAACATGATAAACTAAATTCTGGTTACGCCCGTAAATATGATGTCTCCTACCATGCATATGATAAAATATATTTTACTCATAAAAGCTACGATTAATTTAATAATGTTTGTTTTTATTAAAACATTAATTAAGTTTCATTGCTTTTATTCTATTGAAATATACACCAGGGTACGGCAATGACAAAAAAACTTAATTCCTCACCACATTTCACACTTTTTTCGTGATATATAAGTAATATTTGATAATTTAGAATTAATATAATATGGTCTTACCGATGGATGAAATATTCAATAAGCGTGAAAATTAAATTCATTAAAATTAAAAAAAAAATGTATTTATCTAAAATAAAGAGAATTACAACCTTCCTCTCCAAGAATTGTATGTAACCACCTCACCAATTTTAATTTTATAATTTATATTGATACAGTATTTTATACCAGGTATAAAAACCAACCGAAAAAAGGCGGTCATTTGTTAAGGATTTTAGATACTCAATGTTTAATATGATTTATCATAAAAAAAACCTTAAAATATATTTTATGGGATTAGAGTATTGCGAAGTGCAAAAAACAAAATTTTTACTTAAAGAGAGTGGATATTATTCATAGTTATTCTATGACTATATTTTATAACATTATTAATATAATTTAACTATTTAGTTGCATTTTCTTAAATTTACTGGCAGTCAATCCCAAAACATACACTAACACTATTCATAACGATAAAATATTTAAAATAACATTAATAATATTAATTTTATTAATTTCCATTTATTATATTATAATTCTTATATTTTACTCTTATGTTATCATAAATGAGATTAAAGTCATCGCAACTATACAGTAAAATATTAAAAGTCTACTAAATAATTAATTTACATTATTATTTTGAATTATTTGAAACTTAATAATTGTCTGTATTTTAAAAAAAGTTGAAATCTTTTTTTTTTAAATGACAGTAAATGTAATAATTTAATTTTTTTTTTTTTATTCTATTCTTTTACTTATTACTTAAATAAAATACATTATGTAACAAGAAATTATTTGTTAACAACACACAGCACTACTGTGGACTGTGGTAATTTATTATAATTCATGTTGTTTTAATGGGAGATGACAATGGCTTTTTGAAATTAAAGAATATCATCATGATATTACCCACACACTCACGAATGGATATGTACGTTATAAAATAATCAATTGGATACTATTAACCTGATTTTAGCGCTAGAAAACCAGTCATTAAGTTAGTACGAATCACCGTTTAAGAGGATGAAAATTACTTGCCAAAATAGTTACTATTACATAGTATAAAAATACTGAAATGGTGACCCAAGACGTTACGTAATTACCAATGAGTAATTATTTTAGAGAATGTTCAGTTTTGAAAACGTTTCGAATAAGCTTCGTCTATGATAGTTTTATACAGCGTACATAAATAATTAACAATGTTATATTTAAAAATATACATTTATGTCAATGATTTCATTAAATAACAAGTTAAAAGGTATACATCTCAGAAAACTGGGTTAAGAAGAAGCAATCTTAACTTGAACTAGATATTGTTTTGATTATAGTAGGCACATTTTATATTTTAAAGTACCTGTTTGAATCTTTGAATGCATAAAATCAATTGTAGTAACAATTATTAATAATTTTATTTTTATTTTTTGTTCCATAGTATTTTTGACAAACTTGATTTCTTTCTACTGTATCAAAATAATATTTGATGTAATTTATACATTACTGGCTGAATAATCTGACTTCGTCAAGAAAAAAATGAAACAAACTGAAATACGATGATATATTGATATATATTGGTTTTAATTTACCTTAATTTATGATAAATCGGTATCGGTGTACCTTGTTTTGTGAACTAATTCAACCGCAATGAACATAGGTTATATAAATTTATAAATTTTGAAAAGTAGTTCAAGCTACTTTTTACATTTTTCTGATAGCTTTAAAACAACTTCTGCAACTTTTGTCAAAATCGGTCAAATATTTTCGGAGTTTAAAAGGTATAAATAATTTATAGTCATTCCTTTTTTTTTTTGTACCTATACTTTAAAGTAACAAACAATAAATTAAAATATTTTCTTTTATTTAAAAGAAAATCCGCAACAACGCATGGCATATCTGTTAGTCTAAACATTTTTTTTTTCAACCAATTGTAATGCCAGATTTAAATTAATAATTATTCGGTTTTCATGAGCCAAAACGGAATTCATGTTTGAGCCAACCTGTAAAGTATAGAAGTTGAAAGACAAGTTTAAAACACCCTACGAGTCTCAATCATTTATTCAATCTATTAATATAATCTTTATTAAAGTCCAATAGATAGTTTCTGAGATTAGTCATTAATAACAAAAACCCTTTTAAATTTATTTTTATGAATGAAATATTGAAATTTTAATTCATACATTATAATGAAATGATTTTAGATATAACAATTAACGATATAAGAAAAAATTCAACTTATATGTATTATACTCATGTATAATTATTTATTACACGAATGTAGTAAGTCTGTAAGTCTGAGGCTAATATAAATCAACTAATATTATTTAAACACTAATAAAATCTAATAGTGTAAACAAAAAATATCATAGTTAATGAATTATTATATCATAAAACTATTTATTCTAACCAATCATTTAATTATATTACGACTGAGTGTAAAACATGTTTTATACTGCAAACCATTAAAAATAAATACAACCTAAGTGCCAGCTTACAAGAATTATATCTAATATACCTATATTACTGTAAACTGGGTTTATATAATTTGTGGATTTCCATTGACTATTATATTATAATTAATAAGAATTTAATTCTTGTTTGTTGTTTCATAATGTTTTATAATAGGAAAACGAACATTTAATAAAACCATGCTAATAAAATAATATTATTATAATATGACTATAGCTTTTATTTTTTTAAATTTATTTGTGGAAAATGTATTATCATATCCAATATTGATATTTCCGATGGTCATCTTTGGATTTCAATTTTTACCATAGCTACGTATACAATGCATGTGTTATATTTATATTACCTTCAACAAGTACTTGAAGATCGTTTCCTTTAGTAAAGAATCGTGGATAAATCAGTGGTTGACCCCAAACCGGATCAGTTTGGTTAAGTAATATATATCCTCTACTTTTTGGCTTCAACAAAATTGGTCTTACATTAATCGCTTCATAATAAGAAATAGGAGACATGGCAAATTTCGTTGCATTTGCAGGGTCGAGAATCCAATCTTTCGCGTTGCCATTATCAAATGCATAATTTATGTCTGGGAGATCATGTGAATCTTCATATCTATAAGCAATATTTTCAAATGTATATTAGTACTTAGATAGTTTTCATTAAAGTGTTCGTGGGAAAATTAAAAAAATTATATAAACATGCAATAGTATAAAATGTTAACCACAAACGAATAATGTGTTGCATTTATGCGCGCCGTATATCGACAGTGAAACGAAGTATTTTTGTATAATATAATAATAGTAAGTAGCGTACTTGGTCTGAAGAAATACGCCACATTGTAATGGGCCAGTGGCTGCCAGAGGACCTTTTCTTTTCTTTTTGTACAAAATAGCGTCTTCCTTTTTCTCTTTGAGTGGTTTATCGGTAGCGGTTTTTTTTACACGTATTACAATACCGTCAGACGTGACGTGATCCTGTAGATTCCTTCCGACAGCTAAATTTTTCACCACTTTAATATTCATCATCTCCAAGTGTTTTTTTGGCCCGATGCCGGAAAGCATCAGTATTTTTGGTGAATTTAGACTACCGGCACTCAGAATCACTTCTTTTCTTGCGAATACTGTTCTAAGTTGATTCTTATACAAAAATTCTACCCCGACAGCGCGTTTATTTTCAATCAACACCCTAGTGACGTGTGCGTCTGTGAGAACAGTTAGGTTTTTTCGTTTTTTTCTAATTGGTCTTATGAACGCTTTATTGGTGCTCATTCGTTCGCCGTGCCTAGCTGTTGATTGTAAATGAGTTACACCTATTTGATTTTCAGCATTTACGTCTACATAAGGCAAACCTTTCTCTTTCCACGCCTTAAACAATAATATAAATTACAAAAAATAATTAATTTAAACTTTGAAGTTATATTTAATTTTTGTTATATTACTTGCAAAATGAATTACTTAAAAAAATTAAAATAAATAACCACCCAAAAAATAACTGGTAATTTATTTAATTATTTAATGAATGTTATAGATGATTTAAAAATGTATAATACATTCTATGTGAATAAAATAAGATAAATTAAACACGTAAACAAATTATAAATGGAGAAATGAATGTATTGATATAATATATGTGTATTGTTTAATTTTTGTCTGTCATAGACTTTTGGAGCAGTAAAAATGCCTAAATTTTTAACTTTAATACCTTTTCTGTCAGAAAATGGATTTAGTTAATACTTAGTACTCGATGTGGTCAAAAGTAAAAAAACTCCAAGTGATTTCTTTGATAATTGAAAAAATTTAAAAATGGTTATTTGTATAGGTATTTCTATTAAAAAAAAATTAGTTTTCGATAAAATCGATTTCTTTATTAGTTATTTAGTTGTAATTTGAAAAGGAATGACCATACTTCAAATGTCTTTAAAATGCTTTTAATAATATTATCTACATATAATCCTATATTTTTTTTAAAATTTGACTACTTCTAAGTTATTTATAGTAATTTAACTATTTCAATTTTATTTTTTTATAAATAGAGATAAACATTTTGTTACTGTATCAAAAAAAATTGAAAATTTAATTTAAGGTTTCTCATAACTCACAGTTGATTAATACTAAAATTAATATTTAAATAAGAATTTTTGAGTAGATATTTTAAGTTTTAATATGAATAAAATTAGATAGTTATTTAATTGAATAATAATTTTTTTTTTTTTTTTTTTGATATCTCAAAAATATTATTTGTGAAAAAATGAAACTTTTAGGTATATTATTATATTAGTACACAGTAATATTTTCAAAATAATCGTTTTATTTTATACTATTGTCTATTTATATCACAAACCTATTCACATTGGTCTACGGTAAGTCTGTATTGTCGTAAAAATTAATTGCAATAATATTATGATATAAATATATAGATACTATTATAACAATTAAATAATGATAGTATGATGTAATAAATTCAATGTTTTATACATGCATTAATTCAAACTACTGCATTATTAACATAAAATTAATTTCAAATATTATTAGTATAAATATATCAGAAAATATACTTAATTTTTTGCATACGATGATTCATCATTGAATTCAAATTTAACGTATACGTCATAATGAAATTACATATTTAATGACAATACATACTCGACACTTACATGTAGAGAAGATTAACCACCTACTTGCTATTTTATACCTTCTATTTAGTTTACCAACGTTATAGTTTTTGTACCTTAATTAAAGCTACTGCTGTATGATCCACATATGGAAACCATTCCACCGTAAGATATCCACCTTTACCATGATACTTTTTATTTTTTTTATAAATTTCTGGATCTTCATTATCCTCGGATTTTTTAAAATAGTATAGAATATCATCATATCCCCATCCTGAAAAATAAATATATTTATATAATATATTAATTTATATCACTGAAAAATTAAAAACATATTTATTAAGATCTTACTACAACAAAAAAAAAAAAAATTCTGTCGCCAATAATGCAAAAGTAAAATTATTAAAATAAATATTTTATTTTTTTTTCTTAGGTGTCTAATGATTTGAATTTTTTTTAACAACATAATAAAATGAATTGTCTTATGAATAAGACTAACAATTATGTTTTATCAATTATAATTGATACTTATTGGACTCTGAGTTAAAATTAATATCTCTGAGCCTTATAAAATAATAAGAATACTTGATAGATTTCAACGATTCTACGATTCAAGAAAGATTTTGGATAATAAATTATGAACCAATTATTTTCGATTTGTCTACTATAAATAATATTAAAATCAAATTTCTACAACAGTTAGTAGTAATAAAACATTTTCTTTGTATGATAAATATCAATTTAATACTTAAGTCTCTCTACTTATGTGTTCTATTTTCTATGTTAAAGCAAAAATTCACATTTAAGTATAAATCTATAATACATATTTATATATTATGTATATTTTATACATATATATTAGCTGTATAATCTGACTTCATGCCGAAAAAATTAAAGAAACATAAAATATGACAATATTTATGAATGCCAGTTTTAGTGTACTTCAATTCACAAGAAAATCAACATCGATTTAACCACAATTAATAAAATAATTTTCTTTATTTGTGGTGAATTGAATAAAGTATTTGGTATATTTATAAATATAGTTCAAATTACTTTCTAAACTTTCCTAATATCTCTAAGAACGATTTCCGAAACTTTCAACAAAACCTGTTTTTGAGTCTATAAGCTATAAACCTTTTTTTATCGTAGGTACTTTTCAATAAAAAACACACGAATTAAGTATATTTTTCATCAAAAAAAAAAAAAAAAAAAATCCCACGGCAATGCATAATGGATCAGTAAAATTTTTATTATTATTATCATTATATTATTTTTTAATCATTGACAACTCTATAAATAAACAAAAATCTATTCAATTTTTGTAGACCAAATTAAATTCATGTTGTAAAAAATTAATTTTATATTTATATATATTATATATGTATATATGTATTGAATAGCAATTATTAATAATTTATACATTATCGACATCATACAAGAGAAAATATATAAATTACTACTGTATAGCATAGCCACCTGAGAATAAAGTTAAAAGAAACAATCAATTTTTCACGGTCATCAATACAGGTATAAAATAAACAAATACGAAACATCTTATTCTCATAAGAATGACGTAATCGTTATGATACTTTCTTTTGATATGCTCTGAAATACTACAACTAAACGAATATCAACATGCGTACATAATATCGAACAACCAACAAATTTTATGAATATGATTTATTTTATTTTTTTTATTATTATTATTCTTATGAAGGTTGGTTAAACTCAAACCACAAAATAATTATATTTTCTTGTAATAAAAATATTAAAGAACAACGAGACGTTATGTAACTCAAAAACTCAAACATTAAAGTGTATGCATACATATATATACATAATGGTAGAAACGTGGCTGTGCATCATCATTTATCACCATTATACCCTGATGACTGGTTCCATGATGATTTAAAGATCGTAGTTATAGTAATATAAAAAAACAAAAATAAAACATAAATAACGTACTATGATACACCTTATTTAACACGTAATATAACATAGTATACTGATAAATAATATTCCCAATTTTAAATATCCCAACTAAAACCAATATTTTTAAAGTGATTGATAGCCATTTATCTTATAATAGTGTATTGTGTTATATAATTTACCACACGCTGTATTAAATTCAAATAAGTAAAACATAACTACATAATAAATAATAATTAGCATCAATATTTCGTAATACTATTATAATATCATCTATGGATAATATACTTATGTAAGTTTATTATTTATTGGTTGGACATAAGCGCCATACAAAAAAAAAATTATTTATTGGTATCATATATTTATAGTAAATAGTATCTAATATCAAGGAAAAATAAGATAAGGTGTTACGTATTAATTTCGAACAGGTGAAATTGATCATGTGAAATGTACATCGCGTTATATTTATATATTTATCTGATTATGTACGTACCAGTATTTCCCATACGTTCCCATTCATTATAATCTTCCATATTTCCTCGGGTATAAATCATATAATTGATCGTGCTTGACCCACCCATTACTTTACCTCTAGCCCAATCACACATACCTCCTGGTCTAGACTTGCACATGTGTACATCAGGCTGTGTTGTATAGTTCCAATCGATTTTACTTCCCAATTGTAACGATGCAAGCCCTGGTACAGAAGAAAATTCTGGTTCTTCAATTCCGGCTTCGAGGAGTAATATCTATCGAAATGTAAAAACAATACTAATTAATGACATATTATTTAATAAATAAATGGAGTAATTTTAATATTGAGAAATACTCATTATACCAAACCATAATATCATTCACTAAGAACATTAAATATTTCTGAAATAAAGTTATTATTATTATTAAGAAACATTTCGTATCCTATTTTTTTTAGTCTTATACTTAAAATGTTAGTTATTAATGCACTTATGTTAACAAATATAAAAGTTATTTATAAGTCTATGGTAATAGATATCAACTCAAAATAGTAAAAAAAAAAATTGTATTTTTTAAGTTATAACTACAATAAATAATAAACGAAAAAAATAAACCTCCCCATGGGTCACTTTTCAGGAAAAATTATGAAGTAACTACAATCATACAACATTTTAGGGGTAGTTACATTACTGTCTTTGTGGTTCTTATAAGGTTCTAAAAGATCATATATTTAAAATTATAATATTTAGATACCAATATTTATAAAACAAGTATGGTTTAAACAAAATATGAAATTCACAGTCCTTAAAAATCGTTGTAGTTTAGTTCCTGTAATAACTTAATGTAGCATAACTTAAAATAGATACCTTCCAGTCTTTTATCTCCGACAACCTGTTGGCGACGACGCAGCCCGCTGATCCAGCACCGACAATTATGAAATCGTATTGATCATTCGTGGCTCTTTTTCGCCTCTTTTTTTGGAACACGGACATGAACATTTCATTGAACAGATTTTGATAACCATCCAAGAAATGCAACTCGTTGCGTATGTCTGTCGTAGCGGATGATTCAATTAGTGAATGTTTATCATTCGACTTTGGTGGCCCATCAACAGTGTATCCAAAGAGATGCATGAGAAACCTTAGAAACACGAAGTTTTCTGTATGGCAGGCCGAAAGTGGTTTTTTGGTTTGCATGCACATTTCTGTCGAGTCTCTTGGTGTAAACGGTGAAGGGTAGTGTTTCGTCATAGTTTTCAGTGGTTTTTTCAAGTCTGTCAACGAAAGCGGATAAATGAGGAGACGACAGTTCCAACGAATACACTTTATAAAATAAATACAAATATTACATATGCATAAGATCAATCCAAGCCTTTCAATCAATATATTTTAGACAAATCACTGAAGATCCACGGTACACGACCAACAATACTCTACTCGTACATAACGATTAACAAATACTAACAATTACTTAAGTAGCAATCCGTCATAATAAAAAATGTTATTCCAAACTCCACTCAAATTCTCTAATCTTTCATATATCATCAATCACCATTAACAACAACCCACCAAAAAACTTTAAAAATAAATGACCTTTTTAAAAAAAAAAAAGAATAAACATAGAATAGTACAATCAAGTTACTCGTAAAACAATAAACAAAAAGTAGGGAAATAAATAACCTTTCTGCAGTATAGTTATAGATGTCAGTGGTAATTTATTTATAAGACTTGACTTAAATGATAAATCATTGCATATTAAAAATGATTTTGACCAAAGATGATCTTTTAGCCAATATTACTAAGTATATTTGATGATATACTAGCTAAATTACCTACTATCATCCGTGTAAAGTCTTGAAATAAATTGTTATAGCTATTTTATTTAAATAATTTTATACACGACGAGTTAAATAATCATTTAAATATTATTTAAATTACTTCGTACACGTTGAGTTCGAAATTTGAATATAATTTTTATTATATTTGAAAATATATTGTTTGTTTCTAAAATGCTGTTTCATTCAAAACTTTATTTTTCCCATTAATAATTCTTTTGTAATACAATTTATAGTCCTATATTTTTTTTTAAATTTATATACACTATATTTCTATTAATAACAATTATAATAATATAATCTTTAATCAGTGGTAACCATTAAAATGGACAATAGTATAATATTCTATTTTCTAGAATTTAATTTAATTTTACGTATGAACCACCTGTAAAAACATATAAAAGTTGAAGCAATAAGTTACAAATAATATCATTCTAGTCTCAAAATATTATTGATTTAATTCTTAGTAAAAAATGGTTCAATAATTTAATAAACAAATATTCATTCACATATATTTATAGATAGATATATAGATAAGTTTATTCTACTAGTGTGTATAATAAAATACTATAATAATATACGTAAAAGTTTCTAGTTCCCCGCAAATAATGTTTTTGAATTACAACAAATTAACTAAAATCATTCTTCTTTGTTTTGTATATAATTTTGTCCAAATTTAAACTTTAAATGCTTATAAAAAAAAAAGTCATGCACATGTATCTTTAATAATATTAAATAGGTATTAAAACAAGATATGAGAAACAACGTACCTATTAGATTTTCAAGGTGTTTGACCGTGCAAAAATATTTTTATCGATATTTGTAAAAGGAAAAAAAATCGATTATGTCAATAAATAGTTTAAAAAGATTCAAAGTATTTCAAAAATTAAACCATACCTATAAAATTCTAATATTTCATTACCTGATAAAATCTCAAGTTTCTATAATTATTCGTTTTTAAAATTCAACCAAATAAGATAATCATGAAGTATTTTTACTAATCCAAAAAGCAATAATAGACATTAGATACAAAAAAAAAAAACATCATTGTACATTTATTGCTTAATCTAAAATACTCGTAATATTATAATGATAAACTTAAAGCTTATTAAAAATATATAAATATTAGAACTCGTACATTCTGCACAAAAACATAATTACTTATATACTTTAAAATTTTACTATTGGTTTAAATGGGTTATCTCGTTTGTTGTAAAATATTAGAATACTTTAATACATAATTAATATTTATAGGTATACATTCCATTACTGTTTTTAATGCACACATTCTTATATCGAATCAATCAATTACAGTATACTGTCTAAATTCTAAATAACGTATCATCAAAAATCATTCAACGGCAATCGTATTAAATTATACCAATATTCATCTAACTGCCACCCATGTCAAATTATATTTCTACATTATTTCGTCACAGCACAATTGATTATACCTATAGATAAATACTTAGAATTTACACAGAATACAACGTTTAACAGTATTTCTGCAACGTTTTTACGTTCAGTTGCACATTTTACAGTAGTTTAATTTCTTCGTAGCCTACTTTTTTCAATAATAGATTCATATACTTTTTTCCAAATCAACATTTACAATTGAGTAATTTATTTTGTATATTTAGACATAACATATAACTATTTAGTTAATAGAAAATATCATCATATATTTATTTTTTTTATTTTTTTTATTTTAAAGATTATTAAAATTAGTTTAAAGACCGATTTAATAAGTCAAAATCATTCAAATTTTAAATATTTAAAAACTTTTTGTTCAATTCTACATTAGTAAAATTGTTAATAGTAAAAATTAACTACAATATTCTATAACGATTATCGATTTCAACTTATTAGTCATCTCTATGAATATATTAGCACATTAGTAATAATTAACCAACATCAAACTTAAAAGCTTATATACAAGTAGAGACTAACATATACATTATCTATTAAAGTATATCATTTTTAAATTTATTCCCTAAAATTAAAATAATTAAAACACATAAAAAAAACAATAAAAGTTATAATATATATATAATATAAGATATAAATGCTTAAGTAAATAAATAAGTAAAATTAAATTATTCATAAAATAAAATTTAATTAACGTATTTTGGATTTCATCAATAGATGGCCTTCCTCAACATATTAATCTATAAGTCAATTTTTTCTTGTATCTATCATCATATTTTTCTGTTATATAAATTGTTAATTTTCTAATGAAATGGAAAACAATTAATATTTTAGAACTGTTTAAAATTTACCTATCTAATAAAAGAAATTCTAAATTCTTAAAGGAAAGTTTATATTAAATAAAACAAAGAACTTACTCTATTGTAACATTTTGAGCGTCTTTTATGATTTAGAATAACAGTAGAATAACAATATTATGGTTGCATTTAATTTAAATTCAACTACGAATCATTATTGTACATAAAAATGCAATTCTGAGCGAAGACGTAATATATCAGCATCTAATTTTAAGAATATTTTATGAAATATTTATATGGATATAAGTAATTTATTTCTCCAAAAAAAAAAAAAAATAGTAGGTTAAAACTTAAACAGTTGAACTCATTTTTAATAAATCATTATGTATAAATATATTATTTATTAATTTAACACTGTATATAAATATATAATATAACATTGTAATATCTAATAGCTTATAACTCAATATCACCCTATTACAGAACGGTTTTAATAAGTTCATGATTTAAATAACTTAAAATTAATCGATATTTTTTGAAGTTTTCATTGTGGATAGAAATTAATAATAAACGTAATCGGAACAGTTTTGTCACGACGATAAATATTGACCACAAAATAACAGAAGTTATTAACGAAAATTTTATTTTTCTCTTTTAATATTCAATTTCATGGAAGTTATGATACTAAATACATGGAAAAAAAAACTGTGCATATGTATATCAAATATTTTTAAATTGTTGTAAGAATAAGTTTTTACTATTAAATTTTCAAGTTTTTGACTAAAGAATTTATTTTTCACCAACTTTTATCAAAGAACAAAAGAAAAAAAAATTATAAACAGAAAGCTAAGAAAAATCAAAATATTCTAAAAATTACACTATATCCATATAATAGTTGGTAAAAACTTAAACAAAATATAGTATAAATATTATCAAAATCTTTCGTATATATTACTTACATAAATATTTTTTCGCTACGTTGTATTAAGTTTTTATTTTTATTTTTTTTTTTTTTTTTTGTAATACTGATTTTTTCCTAAATTATGCATTTCAAAAAAAGTTTACTAATTAAATTTCCTATAATGAAAACAATTATAATAGGTTATTTTTTCTTCTTTAAACATCATAACGAACAAAAAAACAAATTTTATTTAAAAATTACATAATTTTAAATCCAACATATTAACGCTACCATTTAAACGCATGTGTTATTTTTAATTTTCCTCATTTTGCTTAAAATTTAAAAATCCTGTATCTAAATATCCAATAAATCTAAGTCCTAAAAAAACATCCATAGACATTTTCATTTATTGTAAAAGTATGGTTGTCCCATTTAATTGATATACATTTTATAAGCATATTAACTACAATCTGACCTAAACAACAAAGTGTTATGAATTTTACTGAAATAAATGTTATAATTAAATTATTTATTACCTTAATAATTAGATTTTTATTGTTGGTAGTACCGACATGCTTCAAAAGAGTAGTTAAAATTATTTAATTTTTTGACATAACATAAACTAAGAAAATTTTTTTTTTTTTTATTTAGTATAATGAACAAAAAACTACAAAAATAAAAACTAAACACTCCTCGTGATTCGCTCAATATAGATTGATCATTTTAGTATTGCTGAGCCTAGTGTGATATTTTTTCCCCTCCAAATGTCAACAACACTCATGATGAAATCAACAAACAATAATAATTGACTCTATCGTAGGCTACGATTCATAGCCACATAGTCTCGTGCTCTAGTATTGAACCAAAAATAAATCATATATTACAGTATTTCTTAATCAATATTCAACTATAATTTATATAACAAAAGCTTCTAAATTTCTTAATTTTTTTTCTTTATTTTAGTATAGCATTTCTATATATATATAAGCAAGAATAATGATTTATTATATCTATTACTCATCATAGTAATAATTATTTTTAAAATATTAATACCTACCTAATCTTTAACCTAACTTAACCAAACTTAAGTACAAAATTTGCAGCAATTTTTTTAATATACATCAAACATATTATACATATTTTATTCCCTATAATCTATATGCAAGTATAATTTATTCTACCAATAGTAACGATGTGGTATTAAAATTGTTACACTCAAATAATATATTTATAGCTATAAAATTGGTTTTTAATTTTAAAAATATGAAAACTAAAAATGAATGTAATGCAAAAATAAAACAATTTAACGTAGTTTATTTGATAAGTATTTTTAATAATATAAAATAAAAATCATAAATTTTGGCAGTAAAACATTATATATTTAATGTATAACTTTATATAAAAAAAAACTTTTTTAGATGTTATAAAATGCAGTTATTTTTATAAAATTATAGTTGTATTATTCGTATGTTCTGTTAATTTTTGTTATAAATAATGGTATTTTAATAACAATATTTTTATATTTTATATTATGCATATATTTGCATAAAAATAAGTTACCATAATTTTAATAAATTATTTAAATGGATAATTATATTTTTCATTACTAAGTACCAAAATATTTTATAATATTAAATTATATAAATAATATAAGTATTTAACTTTGCTCTTATTCATTTTGTATTACATTTTTTTAGGTGTAGACTATTTGTTTAACAGTCACGAGTCATTGAAGTATTTTTGAATTGTTTTTTATTCTTTTTAAAAGTGTATTACTAAATGGACAAAAAATAAACCAAACTATTGTCTGAAAAATATTTGGTAAATATCGCAAATAGTAATACAAAAAAAAACATTGCAACATTTTATATTGCATCAAAAAAATATTTAGCAATATATTTTAAACTCGCTCTTTTATTTCATAATAAATTAAGTTTAAAATATTAAAATGTTTAATTTAATATGTTGAATAAAGGTAATTGTTTGATACTTGTTTTAAACTCAAAACTCAATGATCCACCATTCAATAAAACTAGTTGATTTCAAAAAAAATAAAAATATTTAGACATTATTTTCTTTACTTATATAAATGAATTACATGCATGTGTTTATATAAACCACACTCGTCTAGATCAATAAAAACAAATCATTGCACTTAACTAAGACTTGACCAAGAAGTTTTGCCTCAGTAAATATCGATAGTAAATGTCGATATACCTGAACAGTTATTGTGGTGAGCCACACACAATTTGTGCCGTCTGGTAAGTTACATAGTCGGTAGATAGCCTTGACAGAGAGGCAAAAATCCCTTGAAGGATGAAGTCTGAAATAATATTATGAATTATGATATATGACCTTCAGAAGAAATTTTAACAACAATTCTTGATCTTTAATCAAAATCACAACTATATCTGCTTACTATTATCAATCTAAATATATTATTATTATCATCTTTAATATACACAAATATACATATATCTTCAATATACGAGTACAATATGCGCAAAAGTCGACTTTTATAATAATTAAAAAAAAATCTAGTTTGGACTCGTGTCTTTAATAAAAATAATTGCAATGATAATCATTGTCGTTTTGTATTTCCAAAATTCCAACTGCTATAAATAATAGATTGATGTGCGCAATAAAAATTGAATTCTTCAACAAAAGTAAATTATAAGGTATTTTCATGAAGAAAAATACACAATTTATCGTTTACTAATATGGGTTTTAATACTATTCTAATACTACTCGCATTAAATTCTGGACTTAACATGTCAGAAATAAATTACATTAACAATAATTCATTGTATTTTTTATCTAGTATAAATGTTTTCCAAATATTTCATACTAAATACCTATTATTAATATATATAAAATAAAAATATTTGATAGACATAAATAATACTGAATTAAATTGTTCAACATTCAACAGAACAGGTAAACTTTTTTAAATTCCTACCAATTTTCTTAAAAGTTGTAAAAATGTATAGGTATTATTTTAATTATTCATTGAGTAAACATCGACACCAATTTCTTTTCAGTCGTCGTGAGGGATTGCCTGGAATTGTGCGAGAAGCTAAATTAGATATAAGGGGATTGGGATGATATGAAAGTCTGTTATGGAATCTTTTGTAATATGTTAGCATTGTATAGTAAACATTTTATTATACATAACACTGCAAGTGTAATAGTAAAGTTTATTCAAACGTGCATAAGTTACTACTTAGTGCTTATATCATATAGTTATACAACATTACCTTTGTATGTTTATTCATACATTAAACAAGCTAAATATTTATTTATAAATTAATAATTAAAAAAAAAAAAACAAAATAATATGATGTACTTGTTTTTTACATTATAACGCACCTATCTGGTGTAAAACCGATTGCGAAAATGCACTAAGTGAATTAAAAACGTAGTCATTGTTTATAAATAATGATATACTAGAACACATCATTACTTGTACAAATGAGTTTATAAATAAAGTTGCTGGTAATTATAGTAAAACCTGGTATGTAAATTTTACAAATATTACTGAATTAAAAGGTTTTATTGATTTGCTTTATATGGCTGGCGTCTTGCATGGTGGAAACTTGGACGAATTTTAAGAAATAGATGGGACAGACGTCGAAATTTTTTAGGCAACTATGTCATTTCAAAGGTTTAGATTTTTGATTCGCTGTATTAGATATGATGATCTTGATACTAGATTAGAGAGAAAAGTGACTGATAAATTTGCTCCTTTTAGAGAAGTATTTAATTTATTTATAAACAAATGTAAAGAGAATTACAGCATTGGAGAGTATGGCACTATCGATGAAACACTAGTAGCGTTTCATTGTCGTTGCTCATTTAAAATGTATATACCTAGTAAGCCAGCTAAGTATAGAATTAAAGTACCTATTTAATCGTATAGATGCTAAAATTAGTTACACATACAATTTAGAAGTATATGCAGGAAAACAGCCGCCAAGATCTTTTGACATCAGTGATAAATCAGAGGACGCGGTAAAAATATTATGTGAACCATTGTTTAAAACAGAAATAAAACTTTAGATAACTGGTTCACTAATTATAACTTGGTACAAACAATCCTAACATTACATAAATTGACAATCGTTGACACTATTAGGAAAAATAAAAGGGAATTACCTACGTCATTTATTAAGCCTAAAAATAAACCCGCGTATTCTAATACATTTTGATTCCAAGAAAACTCTACTATAGTATCATAATATATTCCTAAAAAGAATTAAGTTGTTATCTAGATTTCCAGTCTACATAATGATGATAAAATTGACTCAAAATCTGGGGAAAGAAATAAACCAGAAATAATGACATTTTATAATAGTACCAAAGGGGGAGTCGATAACGTGGATCGAATGACCACCGACTACTCAATTGTAAGGAATAATAATCGGTGGCCACTTACAATGTTTTTTTATATTCGTATATTGAATATTTCATCAATAAATGGTGGCATTATTCATAACGCAAATTACAAAAGAAATATGGCAAGAAGAGCTGACATAAAAAACTTATCTCTTTCATTAGTAAAAGAAAGTTTAGTGCAGAGGGTCCATAATAAACATTTGCCAATAAAGGAAAACGAGGAAGGTGCCATTATTGCAAAAGTAACAGTAAAACACAACACTATTGTGAAGAGTGAAGACTGCTAAAAATGGTTATGTATAAAACACGCCAAATTCGTTTGCGAAAAGTATTATTTAAAGGTACATAATTTATAAAATAATTTGTTTTTTTTTTTTTAATTTTATAACTGTTTTTTTTTTTTTTTTTTGATATATATAATTTTAATTTTGGTTATTATTATAATTGTAATTATCAAAGTTTAAAATGGAGAAAAATTTTTAATTTTTTTTTATTATTTCGTAAGAAGGATCAAAAGTTTTTATTTATAATCATTAAATATTTTCTTTTATTGTTTTGTAACTGTTATAATATATTTCTAAGTATATTTATGTGATTGTTATTCATATTTGAAGAAATTAAAATTTACCATTAAAGAGTTAAATCGATTTAATGATATAGGTTTATCAGACCTATGGTATCTATTTACGTAATATTTTTTCACCTATCTAACGAAAGATTAAAAAATAAAATAAAGTGATATGATGTACATGTTTTAATTGGATATCACAAAATATTTATTCTAAGATTAATCAAAACTTACAAATCATAATTTAAATACAATATTAGAATAATTACCAAAAATTAATGTTTCATCATTATGTACCCATAGTCTATATGGCTATATATCTATCGTCAAATTGGTGAAATGTATTTAAACGAAAATTAAAAATCTAGGACGTATTACACTGAACTCATTTGTTTCGGTTCGATGATCGTCCTGAACCCAAATCGTTTTTTATTCATTATTTATTGTTTATGCGAATGCACACAACGTGATACAGTTTTCTCCAAGCCTCGCGTATGTTGAGAAACGCCAAACTCTTCGAAATCTCCACGAGCAACTATAATAATATAGTCATATGTTTAATATAATTATTAATATGTAGTTAATCAATGTGTCGAAGAAAATAAAAATGTTTACAGATGGGACAACGACCAACGATAGTATTACAGTAACAATAATTAAAAATTATACGTAAATATAATATCGCATAATAATTATCTATGTACAATATTATAGTAACAGATCAACAATAAATCGAAACTCAATGGTTAACAAACAAAGTCCAAGTATGTTTACGTGCCATCATTTTTTTCTAAAAATTTAAATTATAAAAACCGACAAAACTATTAAGTTTAATTCCTAGAGTCTCACGATTATCAATTGTATGTCTAATATCTTTCTAAAAATTATATTTCCACGATTATTACTCGTTTGGTATTTCTAGAAGTATATACCTACTTCTGTTAATTTATTGATTTCTGTACAGCTATATATTTTTTTCTTTTTTCATTTTATCTCAACTTTTTTCCATTAATATAATATATGTTCCAAAAAAAAATCCAGAACACAGTAAAAGCATTTAAATAACTTAAAACATATAACTTTTTTATGTATTTAGGCTGTAAAAAATAACGTCAAAGGTTTTTATCATAAAATTATATTATAATATGTCTTAAAAGTTAAACACGTTAATAAATGCTAATAGTATACACCTCCTAATTATTAAAAATACTTACTAGAACTATGTTTACATATTTTTTTCGACTCAAAAAGATACACTGAAAACAAGTGTCATCCGAGAAACGTGGAAACAATAAATAATGGCAAATTGATATTATAATATATAATATTTATAACGTATACAATACACATGACCACATGGGTAAGGTTCACTACGACTGCGACGCAATTCGACAATAATCACATTATTATCACGTGTTTAACTTATTGTATGGCGGTACGTTATTTTCGTGCGCATATGCTCTCCAAGTACGTTTGACCATATCCGAGCCCTTCTCGGCCACCATTATGACCGGCGCTATGGGATTACAGTTGGGTCCGGTTGGGAACACGGACGCGTCCATCACCCTCAGGTTGGCCACGCCGAGCACCCTGAGCTCCGGGTCGACCACCGTTTCCGGGTCGTCGATGGGTCCCATCTTGCAAGTTCCCGAATGGTGGTTCTCGGGCTTCGTGTCGGTGACCACCACGCACGCCCAGTATGCGTCCGAGTTGTACGTGTGCTGCGCGCATTCCTGGTATGGCGTAGTGTCCGGCTGCATGTCCCACTTTCTCAGCGCCCGCGTGCCCATCAACGACAACACGATACGTATACTCTCGACCATGGCCAACACGTCCCGCGGGTCCTGGAAGTAATTGGGCTGGATGATCGGGTCGTCCAGAGGGTTTCCGGTCCGCAACGCGATGTAGCCCTTACTCCTCGTCAACAGGTACGTCGGTCTGGCCCACACGTAAGCTCTAGCACCGTCATACTTCCGGTACGCCGGGCCGTCCGGATCCATCGGGATCTTGTCGCAGTTAGGCGCCAGACCATCAAAGTACACCTGTGCGTCCGGTACCTGTATTGGACAACAAACATGTGCAGATATTATATGAAATTGACTATTGGACAACGCCCGTCTAAATTATATCAATAACATTATACATATTATGGTTTCGATTGGTTTCGTGTAGTGATGTGCATACCGTTCAAATGTCGACAATCGATCGCCACGAATTGTCCACTCATACACGATGACTTAACCCGATAGCTAAGAGAATACTACTAACCCCGTCCACCGAGTACGAGGTGGTCAAAAATCCCGTGGTCTGCGTGAGTCCCGTGCTGGCCAGCGGACCAGTGCGCTTGGCCAGGAACTCGGACACCGCGTCCATGGTCAGGTAGTAGGCCTCCTCAGATGCGTTTACCGTAGCAGCGACGCTGACGGACACGTGGTGCTGCAGGTTCCGACCGACCGGCAGATCCTGGAAAACAGTGACACCAGCCCGGAGCAGTTCCTCAGCTGGCCCAATGCCAGACACCAGAAGCAGATGTGAGGAACCAACAACGCCCGCCGACAGGATCACTTCCTTTCGGGCGCGCACCATGTGCTCACCGTACTGGTCCACGTACTTAACACCCTGCACGCGGTTATTCAGCTTATTCAACACCAACCCGGTCACGCGGCTGTTGATCTTCACGAACAGGTTAGGTCTTTTGTGGGCGGGTCGCAAATACGCCCGTGAAGTGCTCATCCGCAGACCGTCATCCACCATCACCTGGGCTACGGAAAATCCTACAAAAAATGTATTATAATATAAAATTATTTATTTTTTTGTTTATACCTACTTAAATATTAACATTTTCTTAAAATAATACTCAGTATATAAAATTTTCGATCCGTCCATAATTATTTTTCAAGATAGGGTTGTGTACGTATTGTATAATAATGCGATCTGACATCGCAGTTTTACATTCTCCCAGCACATACGCATTACACACAATAGCGTATTGTATAGGTACGACTGTTTGAACCGCGAGTTTTTATTACCGTGTCGGATTTATTTGAAAATTTATAAAAAAAAAAATAAACCCTATATTTGACTACACAACGCGTTACTATTCAATGCACCAACGCCGGCCAAACGTATATTTTTTTCAACGATAATAGCTGTGCCTGCAGTGTGAAATACTGTTATGAAATCAACCAATAAACTGTTTTTAATAATAATACATCATATTTTACGATTGTGTATTGTAGGTTTTTAAGGTGTTACGTCTTGTCAAAAATTATTAGTACGGTCTAATCCATATGGCATATAGTTAGTATGTACAGTAAACGTGAAACATATATACGTATTTATTGCAAATATTTGTTAATTCCTTCCAGAAGAAAGGAAAATAATAAACGGGATAAATACAAATACGTATTATTTGACAAATATACGTCATTTACGTTATTTTCTGCCAAACTATGACTGCACGTGTGTTTATGAAATGTATTTCTTATACGCTACTTATATTATACTTTATAACCACTATTTTATATTCCATTAGACGTGAAAAAATTACTAAATATAGATTAACTAAGAATTATCAAAAACGAGTTTTTATTTCCAGGCCGATCGGTTGTTCTTCTTCTATAGTATGATACTATAGCCTCGACACATTACTACAGACACTACAGTCATTTTCCGATTTGTCTGTGTATCGTTAAGTTATGTTTCAATTGCACGTTAACCCTCATAATATAATGATAATTATCAAGTATATATAATGTGATTTGGTTTGTACAACATGTACACCAATCATTTCCATCTAAATTTTAGTAAATAATAAACTCATAAGCTCATAAAAAATATAAAAACAAATTTATAAAATACGACAACAATTTGACACTAAATAAATAAATAGATGATAAATAGAGATAACATTTTTTTTTATTGTTCTGGTTTTCAAGAGACTAATATAATTGTAGAGGAATATTAAGTATAAAGTTAAGGAAATAATTTATGCCCCCTCCCAGTAATATACTGATGGGGAAAAAACCCTCTTGTTTTTTAGAAAGTAGCATTTGTTTTAAAGTTAAGTTCTCATAAAAAATGTAGCAACCCTCACCCAAAATAAATGAAGCATAAACCATTACTATAACTCAGCGTTTCTTAAATTTTTTATCCGTGAAACCCTTTTTGATGTTCAATTTTAACGTGAACCCCTACTTTTTTTTAAGCTTTTTTAGGATTATTTTCAATAAAAATTATAATTATTTCATATAATAACAATGTTTTAAAAGTATTTAATTCATAAAATATGTTAAAATAAAAATAAAAATAATAATTGTATATAATAATACTTAAATTACTTTAATTAGACTAATTTATAATTTTAATGAGATAAGTAAAATTGCTTTTTATTATTACAAATATTCTTAAATATTGTATTTTGTTGATGAAATTTGTACAAATATTTTTTCCCCACTAGCCGCTTCTTATCTTAAGTTAGATATTTCCAAGAAATTTTTCTAAAAATTAATTACTTAAGCTCCGCGAAAGCCAGAAATGATCTCTGTGAAACCCCGGGGTTCCGCGAAACACAATTTAAAAACGCTGCTATAACTAATAGATTGACAATATCAAATTATTGATTTCGTATAAATATTTAATTTAAATTTACTGTTAAAGTGTTAAATCGAAAAGACAAAATATATGTTTCAAACCAATAATTGCTAGACATCCTTAATCCATATTATCTTCTTACGTACGTTTATATGACGACTTAATATAAAAATGCATGTCACCATTTGCAACTGAAAAATCTAATAATCACGTTCACGTATTTATGTTGTGCAATAAAGAAAATAGATTCAAATTAAAGGTATTATTATAATTTTTGGTACAAGTGAAATTGGCGCTTTAGGACATTTGACACATTTTATATATCGATTCATTATAAGGTTTTAAAATTAATAACTGCATCATTTGTCTTGAACAAAATTTTTACATGCTACAATTACGTCGAAATTTAATAGATTGCACATTAATTTTAAAATAAATATCATATATTTATTTTTATTTTTTTTTATCAAGTAATTTTTGTGTCAGTAGATATATACATATTATATAATGCTGCATAATGCATCAGTGTTAAAATTTTATAAAATTTGATTAGTTTTACAAAATATAAACTTATATTTTTTTTTTAATAGGTCAAAAAAGCACTGATATCAACAAATTTTCAATTTATTGTTTTATATTAATATTAAAATTTAATACTATATATAAATGAAATGGCAATGCAACAAAAAAATCATAAACCAGTTTTAAATATAATATGTATTGCTATCTAATACTGTCGTCTTTGGCCACATCACAAGACTTTATATACCTACGCGTGTTTTCCCATCCTAATAAACCGTTATTTTTTTTGTGATTCGTATAGTACACAACTCGTATAGGTATAATAAATAATCGATAATCTATCTTTTATAAAACTTTCATATGTCGTTTTTATTTTAAATATTATAGTATTTAGTCTGCAGATTATAATACATACATAGTGTTTATTTTATTTATATTGCTATATTTTAAATATTAATTAAAAATATTTTCTCCTAAAATATATAAATATGTATAAAAAGTACAGTGGATTCCGCTTAATGTGGCCACCGGTTAATATGGGCATCCGCTTATTGTGGGCAAACATGTCTGGTCCCAAAACAAATGTATATTAACAATGTTAAATAAAACCGCGTAATATGGACACTCGATTCGGTTTATGTGGGCAATTTTTTTTTTTTTATCATAGCGTTAGAATATACACATTAGTATTTAAAAACGACTAATTTAATAGGATTTTGTCGTATTTATGAGATTGTGTTTATCGAAAGTAATAAAAATCATTAACATTCAAACAAACAAATTTCACCAAAGAGAGGCGAAAAAGTGCATTGATTTCTTGCAGAAGTTCTTCATGCAAGAGGGAAACGAAAATAGTCCGTCTGATAAACTTGAAGCGTGTGACCATTTTGTCAACCAGATTCATACTAAACAGCTTAGACAACGAAAAATTACGTTTTGTATACCTTCTACAACCAAAGATTAATTTTATTTAATATATTATAGGTATTTAGTTTTATTTATATACCTAGTAATTATTTAACATTTTTTTCAATTATATGATAATACAAATATATTTTTTTATAAAAATTATTTTTTTTTTACTAATTTCGGTTTTTATGGGCAACCGCTTAATGTGGGCAAACAGAGCTGGTCTCAACGTGCCCACATTAAGCGGAATCCACTGTACTTAAGTACCTATATGTCCAACAATCTATTTTATTTCAGTTTCTTATATGCATAAACTTCCGGTTCCCAAATGTATAATATAATTATATCACGAAGTTGATCTTTTGACGGCAACACACAAAACCAGTCAATAGTTGGATGCGGCATATAAATTCCAACCGTATACTTTTATTATTAATCTTAATTTCATAACAAATCATAAGATCGAATTTTTGGGAATCAGGTTTTACACAATATTTGGACTACAGCAAGGCGTTGCATTTCAAGCACGTACAAAATAACTATAATAATAACCATAAACACTATTTGGGCTTATTTCAAACTTGTAATAATAATACCTGTGAGGAACACCCCTCCATCCAACCACTGTGGTTAAAAAAATCTACATTTCTCCAAAATTATTTATGAACAGTATAAAACACTATGCAGTGGCATAATTGCTGTTAAATTATACCTACTCATTTATATATTTATATATATAACAACATTAATTATCATACGCACCTGTTTGATTGTGTCCGTTAAGGTCACCGGATCTGTAGCCCAGCTCGACGCCGGCCTGCACGATAGACTCCGCCATTTCAGGACGATGTGCGAACCGCTGCACGGACACAGGACCGTCGAACCCGTGGTACTCGGGTTCCACCATGTCGACGTCTTTATTCCTCTCGGACTTCTTGAAGTACGGCAGCACGTCGTCGTAGCCCCAGCCTACTGCTCCCGAATCGCGCCATCCGTCGTACACGCTTCGGTGGCCCCTCGAGTACATCATGCCCGTCATAGCCCCGGTGCCGCCCAACATCTTACCCCGCGGCCACACGCATATCCCGCCCGCGGCCAAGCAAGCGTTACTCTGCGGCTCGGTCAGGTACCGCCAGTCGAGCTCGGTGCCCATCGCGGCGGACGCGAACGCTGGCACCGACGTGGCCGACGGCTCCTCGGGCCCGGCCTCCAGCAGTCCCACCGTCCAACCGGCCACCTCGCTCAGCCGGGACGCTACCACGGAACCGGCCACACCGCCGCCGACCACCACGAAGTCGAGTTCCTCCGGATACACCGGACCGGCCGGAAACGGCCGGCGGCCCGTGGCCCGGCGACACGAGTCCGTCACCGAACACTGCGACCGGATCACCAGGTCAACCAACGACATGAAAAACGCCAGACCACCGGTGTTGCCGCACGAGCCGGACAGGAACGACGAGTCGGACCACGGGCACTCGCAACTTCCGCCGGAAGAAGTCATAATGACGATCGGCAACGCGCGTCGTATCGAGTGCAGACGAGACGTGCAATTATTATTTTAATGACCGCAAAATGAGTGCCGTGCGAGTGTGATTTAAATGTCGGCAAATCGCGAGAGAACGCGCTCACGAACGCGGATTCGGATTTTAGCGCACGCTATGGGTCACGGGACGTGTGTCGTGATTTAAGTGCCGGTGCTGTAGTATAACAGTGAAACCAGTCGAGCTACGACGATGATCCAAGTATAATTATTATCTGGCGCAGTCATTTCATCCGTAACCGAAGGCTTCGGAGATGTATTCTACACTAAACTCGATATATTCTGTTCTTAAAAAACATAAACGAATATCGATTGAAAATATAATATATCGACTTGGCGCTCAGATGTCCCGTGGCCAATCAACTTTCTCTATTGTTTCAAGCCCAGTAGTGTGGTGTTATAATCATAATAATCCGCAGAGTGGGTATAGAAGAAAGTAAAAACTAAGGAGAATTTTTTTTTTTTTTACTTTCGTATATCCCCGTCGAACGACTAACGAGTTGTTCTCCGAGAACTAGTTATGAGTATATACATGAAAAATAGGCTTTTAAAAAATGCATAATCTATGATCACAAATCCTCCTGAAAAATTCGATTTGAAATCGTCGTGGTTGCACTGGTCAAATACACTCGTTAATACATTCTTGAATACCGCTTTATAATTAACATATATATTTAGAATGTGCATACCTACTATACCTACTATATTATTATCATAGTATCATACTATACGATACACTAGTATATTATTTCACATTCAATATAGTATTACTTTCGTCTTTCAGTATCTATATTTATTATCTTACATAGCATCCATAATAACTTACTTTTTTTAATAAACATATAATATTTCAACAATTTTCACTAAGAACCAAAATATTTATAATTCATGGTAAGACTTACCTATAAAATTTTATAGTATCTATGATATAAAATAATAATTTACTAAAATTAACTTTGAAATCGTCCAAGCTTATTTGTTAGTTTCAAAATAAATAATGATATTTATTAAAAATTAAAACAATTAAAAATTACATTCGATTTACAATAATTATTGTACGTTTTATATTAAAATAAACGATAATATATGCGTCTCAAAGATTATCACATTTGAAAAATTAGTAAAAATAAATTTTCACAATAATTAATATTAAAACTAAATAAAACAAATGTTATCTGTATAATAGGTGGTACACTACGAATATTTTTATTAATAATCAGTAACTGGTTAGTGATTAGGTACACAAAAAATATATATCGGTGATAATTTTTTCCTTTTAAATTTCATTTTTATAAATATATTTATTAATCAGATTGTCTTGATACTCAGAAGTGTTTGGATAATAGCTTACCACCATCTTCTAAATGTCTTTTTGACATACCGCATCTTAAGTATTTGCTTATGTCCTGCCCAATCTTGCTTGATCATGTCAGACGCCTTTTCTGCGATCATAATCGTTGGCGCGTTAGTGTTGCCGTTAACAATCGTAGGCATTATGGAAGCATCTACCACCCTCAAGCCTTTGATGCCTCTAACTCTCAACCGTTTGTCCACCACGGCATACTCGTCGTCCGCCGGACCCATCTTGCACGTACCGACCGGGTGGTAAATGGTCATCGTGTAGTGACGAGCCTGGCATTCCCAGTATTCGTCGGACAAAAACTTGTAACTCTCGCACCCCGGCGTGGGGATGTTATGTATAGTGGTATTGATCTTACTCATGGCCACTGTCCGACTGATGGCGTATCCAATTTTGGCACCCTCCACCATAGTTCTGACATCCCGTGGATCGCTAAAGTAATTTGGCACGATTTTCGGTGCAGCGTAAGGGTTGGAACTCGTGATCTCTATATAGCCTCGGCTGTACGGCCTCAGCACCAATGGTGCTATCGTAAAAGCATCTTGGTATAGTATGGGTTCAAAAACTTGCTCGTAGTATTCGTCGGTGATGCCTACATCCCGTCTGTTCAATAGACCTCCGTCGTCGTTATCCCCAGCTGTTGCCATAAATAACTGAACGTCCGGCCAATCGATATCGTCGTTGTAGCTGTAACGGGAAAACCATATGTAACGAAGATAAAATAACAAAACCAAAACATGACCTAAAAAATCACGACGGTTTGTTTCATATATTTAATCTATTTTAATTCCGAAAAACCGAAAACTCGCTCACCACGTGTTTACAAAACCCATGACTTCACCGAGCGGTATCCTGTAGAGCGGTCCCATTTTGTCGCGGAAGAATTGGATGAACGTGTTGAGCGTCAACACCCTGGGTAGCACTATGCCCAGACCAAGGGGATTGGAATCGTCGGGCGAATCGAACAAATATGTTACCCCACCCATCGCAATGTGATCTTGCAGGTTCTGCCCCACGCCGGGTATGTGTTTGGTGATTTTTACGCCGGCTTTACGTATCTTGTCAGCAGGCCCTATCCCGGACAACATCAACAAGTGGGGCGAATTTATTGCGCCCGCCGAGAGCACCACTTCTTTTTCGGCTTTCACTAACATCGGTATTGTCCCTAGTTTCGATATCAGTACACCCGTGGCACGGCCGTTTTCAATCACGATTTTTAAAACGTGCGTGTGTAAGCTGATATGAAGGTTTGGACGATCTTTGATTGGCCTCAAAAACGCTTTGGACGTGCTGCACCTCAACCCGTCTCTAAGAGTTCCTAAAATCACACGTTTTGTGCAATTTAATAAGCCGTCAAGATTGTCAATACAAAACTAAATACCGACGTGGGTAATAATAAATATCAGAAATACACGATAAATGTTTCATTTGGTACCTATTGCATTTTATTAGTCATATAATTTATTAATACCTTGGGATCGCGTAAATCCTGTCTGACTCTGTCCGTTTATATCGACTTCGTCGTAACCGATTTCCTTGGTAGCCTCCAAAAAACTTTCTACGATTGGCGATTGCGACCGGAAGTGCTCCACGCTCAGGTATCCTCCAGTGCCGTGGTACTCCGAATCCATGAGTTCCGGTATCCTCATGTCCTGGGACTTGATGAAGTACGGCAATACATCCTCGTAACCCCAGCCCTCATTTCCGGCGTCTCGCCATGCATCGTAGTCTTTCCGATTGCCCCTGACGTAGAACATAGCGTTGAGGACACTGCTGCCCCCGACAACTTTGCCCCGAGGCCAGCTAGATTGGTTTCCGTTGAAGCCCAAGCATGACGAATTACTGGGTTCTGTTTTGTACTGCCAGTCAACAGACGTACGCTGGAGGGAAGGATACAGCAACGGTATGTCTGACAATGCCGGTTCGTCGATTCCAGCCTCTATTAATAGAACCTAAAAAGCGAAATTGATTGTTGTACTTGTTAATTGTTATAGTACTCGTTTACTTTCTAGATACATATTTTTTCCTATTACCTACGATCGATTCATATATCGCATACCTATATTTACAACTATAGATAGGTTTTGATTGTATTTTAAATTGCATTTTTATCAATTATAAAGTGAATACGATTATTAATACGATTATTGTTTTGAAAATAATTTAACGTGTTGGTAGATAGAAAACAATAATCACAATTTTAAAATTTTTCTACTCAGCAATATCTATATAATTTTTAATTTTAACTACTCTATTCATTCAAATGATATATAATGACTATTATGTTTATTTTGTATAATAAAACATTTTATAGTAAGATGATTCAAATAAATTACAATACTTGATTTCACTGTTGAATTGAAACTGTGATATAATTTATAAATTAAATTTATATGAATCTAATTTGGTTGATTATTTATCATTTGTAATGAATTTAAATTACGTGAGTACACTATTCTACTCTATACATTTATGACAACATATTGAAAATATATAAAAATAAGATACAATATCTTAATGTTACGAGTATATATCACTCATTTTATTATTTAATAAAATAATGTTTAAAAAATTAATTCAATTATAGCTTAAATTATTTAATTCAAGTAATCCCTTACTCTTCAGATAGGTTTATTATTTAAAAATATAATTTATATTTATTAAACTTTTAATAAATGATGTTTATGTAAAAATAAATTACTAAAAGTAAAAAACGTTTACAAAAAATAAATATGTAAATTGTCGTTGTCTTATCGATTAATTTAATTTTTATTTGTACATATTGCTAATAATTTGAAACTAAAAATTATTAGCATTTTATTATTTCATATATTTATATCACTCATTTAATTGTCATCATCAGTTTGTGTTAAAAGGTTAGATATAAATCAAATAAATTTACTCTAATAATTAGTTACTATTCGTATTAAATAATTTAGCAAGTTCAAAAATTACATAATTTAACCACTAAAATAAAGAATAAAAGCAATAAAAATATCTTCAAACCTTTAATATTATTTAAATGTAAAAAATATACAATCCAAGGTTTTAAACAACTCAAAAATATCAAATAATATCGAAAGTCCATAACTGCAGTGACATTTAAACTGCAAAATATTGCAGGTGCCTACCTATCAATTCTTATTAAAACTTTACGAAAAAATACCTTAAAAAATCATATCACCAAATAAGTGATACGAAATATAAATTTAATCGAAAAAAGAATACACTTAATTTCATATTGTAGTATAAAAATAATCGTATAATCGTGTAAGTTTTTGATAAAAATTTATTGCACCATACGCGTTGACATTTGACACTATATAATATACATATACTGCAGTATATAATAAACAAAATGCGACTCGGATTCCAATTTTCGATTACAGTATTTCGTTTGACCATCAAATTACTAAAAATATTTTATCCACTCCGTATAATCTTATTGTAAATATTAACATACGTACGTTGATATATACATATAATATATTATATTATACACGAAACTGATTGTAGTGGTGTTATCTGACGGTTTTACCGGTTTTGTCACAATCTAAATTACAGGTTATAATATATAATGACTTATGATATAGGCATTTTAGTTTTTATCACACAATTTTGTTATTTCCTGATATTGTAGTCCGTAACACTGCAACAGTAAAATAGTTTAAGTCGTTACTCGCGCTAATCACTTTTACTTAAATACGTTGCGCTTTCCTCTGTCCCCTCCTGTCATATCATCCAGTTTTTTGTATTCGAATTTACTCTATGTTTTTAATTTTACACATTGAACCGATTCAAACTATATGTTTTATCGATTGTAACAATAAAAAATGTCATAGACCATAATTTTTAATACATTTATTAACAATTTTTCACGTTTAGCGGTCACTGCGAGCCACACGCGCACAATCGTCGATCTCAAATACCATTGCGTGCAGACACATGTCACTAAACACGACGGGTTTTTACACGCAATCGATCGTTGTCGTTTAAAATCGTTTGATTTCTCATATTTTAAGACCCTTTTTTTTTTTTTTTCTAGTCAAACAATGACACAGCAGTGTACACTATTCAACCGCGGTCGTTACGAGAAACATACGCAGTGGTTAGGTGTGAATAATTTTTCCATTACCGTCCAGTTTGCGTTCTCGGACAGACGGTTAGCCACGACGGAACCCGCGGAACCGCCGCCGATCACCACGAAGTCGTACTTGTCCCCGATCTCGGCGATCTGGCGGTCCGTCAGCCGGTGGTCGACGTCCTCGATGTCCGGCCGGAAGAACAGTATGGCCACCCGGATGAGCATTATGTAGCTGACGCTGGGCCCGTACGACATGGCGATTCGGGCGGCCAGCCGGGCCGAGAACGGATTGTGCGCCATGCGCGACGGCGGCGACCGGTAAATGGACACTGCCCCGGCGGCGGCGCGCGCGCGTGTCCCGCTACACCGCGCACAGGAATCGGAGCACACACGCGAGTCGAGCACACACACACACACACACTCAAACCGGGCGATGGACGAAATTTGCGATGTGCTGTCGGCCGAGTGTACGCGGTTACATCACACGCGCGTGTGTACACTGCCGGAAAGACGCCATGTATTGTGCACACACGTTATTATTATTATTATTGCTAGTTTTTTTTTTCCACGTCTCTACCTTGGCGTCACCACCAGTCGTGTGACAATAATAATAATAATAATAATAACGTTAACGTTAACGTATTATATACCTGTCAACGAAACGTTTTTTTGTACACTCGACCCACGGCAGCGCGGTGGTGGTTCGTTGTTTTATTTTCGCAATATCCACTCGCACAATACTATAAGCATGATGTACGCAATACTCACACGCAAAGATAATATGTATTATGATATGACATGATATTGAATTTTCATTAAACACTATTCGGCCGCCGCGCAGAACCCTCGCGATTCAATACCAAATTCGATACCTAAAAACGAAAATGTCGTTATTTTATACCCGTAGTACGAAGTTTGGTCTGCACATCAGCCGTTGGGCCATAATTGGCGAGCTCCGAAACAAAAAATAACAATCTGAATTTTTTGATTTCGATGTAGTCGACATCTCGAGTTTGCAGTGTGGTCCGTTCTTAAACCCGTCCCATATCTTGAGGATTTCGTATATTCTATCCCGACGATGTTTAGGTATCGTCATCATATATCGTATCTGTATGAAAGGCTGAACTTTCAAAACGTTCGACACACCATTCGTCGTCCATACCTTCGTCGTCTCGCAGACACGACCACCTGTATAAGTATATGCGTGCGTGACTGTACTCAAATACATATATGGTTAAAATACATAAAAACTTAACATTATTATTATGTATCAATTATGGGAGGAGATATTTTTTCAAAGAATAATCGAATTCAACGTTGGTTGTCAAATTAAAAAATAAAAAGTATTGTTGCTCTTTTAACTTCATGTATACGTGAATATATAATTTAGTTTAGTATGTTTATAAACCGTGGAAAAACGACGTTAAAATTGATACTTTGATGGTATATTTGCAGTTGTTCGCCGAGTACGGTCAAGTGGAACAAATTTAATAACCATATACTCAACTGTGTAATACCAAGGTAAATAGGTTCAGTAACGCGAGTTATATAATATCTCCATTTTCACGTAAAACAAACTATTAAAATATATCATGTGCCGAGTGTTGTAGGAAATTATTCATTTATTATGGTTTATAAATTTTAATGTGCTCCTAATATTAAATTACTTTTCATGATGTCTATAAAAAAGAATGCATATATTTATATGTATGTAATTTAAACTATAATATTAGATATGTTGACGTGTTATTAAAATTTTGATAGCACAAATCGTAGTAAAAGAAAAATGAACAAAATAAATCAATAATAATAGGTAATAAATAAAACAAAAAAAATTCTACAAATTTCTGGACAATTTTGTTGTGTAATTATATTAACTATAAATACAATAACTATATATACATATATAACTTAATATAATTTAATAATATCGACAATAGTCTATAGTACATAATCGAAAACCACGCGTATTCAACTAAAATCAAAGCCATTCCCAAAAACAAAGATTCATGACATTATGGTGAAATGTGGTTCTATAATAGATAATTTACAAAGTAAATATGTCTTGACACGCGTTTTTTTAATTTTTTTTTTTATTTACACAACAATTGTATTTCTATTTTTTATTCTATTTCAATTTATTTTACGCCTATTCAATATTTTATGATATTTATTATAAATTAATAAGGTCGACACTCAGAGTTAATATTTTCTTGAAAGCAAATCATATTGAAATTAAACCACCCCAAACTATTAGTTATAAAAATAAATAACCATCTGATATCGTTAATTTAATATATATTATAATTATATTTATTTTGCAAATAATTTCTTTTTTTATATAAGTAAAATATTTTATAAACATATTGATATATTATATAGAGGTAATGCTTAATTCCATTACCTACATGTAGGGCTCTGAATTTAAAATATTTCACTTGAAATATTGAAAAATATTTTTTCTTCTTTTAAATGTGTTGTTCGGTTATAGATGATTAGACATAATATATTTAATAAACAAATAAAATATTGATAATGAATAACTTATACTTAGTCGATCTCCAATGTGTTAAAAGGTTGAGTTTAAATTTGTTATACCATTGATTTGTAAAGTATCTTCTACATTATATGTAAATATATTATATATTTTCTATATTTCATACATTTAACCAACTTATAAAGATGTTCACTTGCAAGTTGATGAAACTATAATTTTTTAGTTACAAAGTTACAATATTTTTAATATTTTCATTGAAATGAAATATTTCAAAAAAATAAATTTCATGAAATTTTAAAACCTTACCTACATATAATGGAAAATAATTAATAATACTGTAACATTGGGAAAATTATTAATCAGTTTATTATAAATCATATACGTGTATTGTACACGTGTGTAAACGTATCTATAAAAAAAAAATTAAAAAATGTTTATTTAAGTATTTTTGCTTGGTATATACTACACTAATCATTGCATAATATATTTTTGTTTAGCGTACATTCTTCTAACTATTCATACCGCTGCACTCGCAGTATACTGTATACCTATTTAAAAACTAAATTACAATAAACACTTTGTTTGTGATTGTATCTAAATTAAATTAAATGAAAGTCATTTCGATTTGTGTTCAAGGTACCTAATTAAATTGGCACATCAAACCTAAAATGTTACTAAGAAAAATCTATTATCTTCTCCAAACAGAAAAATTCCTTAGCCAGCAGTACCTAAACACAATACCTACATGATTAATAAAAATAAATATTAACATTTCGTTTAATGTATTTGTCCTAGATTTAAAAAGGTACACATCAAATAGTTTTAAGAAGTTGTTCTAGAACATTAGAAAATGTAAATAATCATATGATTGTAAATAATTCTAAATGTTTTGTTAACATATACTTACTTAATATAAATAGGTCATTATCACCTAGAATAGAATTAATATTTTAAACCACTTATTTAAATAATTATAATTACAGAACTTTTTCTTTTTTCTCAATACCTATATCACACAAATTAAAAGTAAGTATACGAGTATTAATGTACCTACCTATTAAATTATATTTTTTCAATTCTCAAAGAATATTTCTCTTTATTATATATATCTATGCGATCATATTTAATTATTTGACATTTAAAAATAAATACATTTCTTATTATTTAAAAGCGTTTGATAAATAAAAAATGCTAACTCGCTTTTTAATTTATATAAATGAGAGGAAATGTAGCTGTAACATTTTAAAAAGAAAAATCAGCAACAAAATATTAGTTGTTTATAGGTAATCTAAAATAAATGATAATAGATTAATAATGGATTTACTAATAGAATAAATAAATAGATGAGTAATTTGGCTGTAAAGTATGTTTTGAGTGCATCTATATTGTGTGAGTCAGTATAATAAATGTATCAAATTTGAATTCAATAATAGATAATAGGATTCAGAGAAAAAACGGTTTATCAATTTCTATATTATTTCAAATATATTCTAGTAATACGGTATATTGAACTAATTTTTACAGAAAATATCGCATATATTATGTAATGGATATTATACGATACTTATTATCATATTATACCAGTCAATTTATTCTCTATAGTCAATACTAGCGACGTATCTAAGAACGGTGTAAATTGCTTAAAATTGGTATAAATATTTTGAAAATTTCATTATATATAAAAAATGATAATTTATGTAATAAAAAAATTTTCAAGTTCCTACGGTTAATACTTTTTAAATTACAATATAACACTAAAAATGTTAAAGAAACATCTTTATTATAAACAAAAATTACATAATGTTCAAGTTGAATAAAATGAAAAAAATTCAAAAAATGTCAAATGTTTATAAATAGCTAAAAATATATAAACATATATGAAAATGATATCACATCGTTTAGAACATTTTAATATAAATATTTAATGAAAAATTCAAATAGGCATTTACGAATGTTATTTTTTGAATTAGATACAACAAAATAACGAAATCACAATGTTGTCAAAAAGTGAAGAATTTATTTTTCTTATTATTTTGTATTAGGATTTTATATCCTTCTTCCTCCAAAGTACAAACTATATTCAAATTGTTTCCGAAATCTAAGGCCGCTGTCAGATTTAAAGACTATAGCATTTTTTTTTTTTTTTTAAACCATCATAACAAAGTTGAAAAAAACAGAGACACACGTCTTAGAAAAACTACCTGATACGTTCATCACTCAGCTAAAGATCCAAAATAATAAAATTTTACTGATTTAATTATTACGATATGAGCTCGGATTGAAAAAAATTGTTACTTTTATATTATTATTTTTATTGTAGACACTTTCGGGCGATAACAGCAATACCATCTATACAACCGTCGTTTTGAATCGTTCAACAACAACCTTAAGTAAAACCACCAGCAAGTGCCTTTCCCGTGTTCGTTACTAAATGGTGTTGCCGTATAAGATTTTTATTTTTCATTTTTTTGATTTTCAACTTCTGGGCCAACCAGAATTTTAAAATATTGGAACGACTTGAAAAACTCTGGAAATTAAAAATTTTTGAAGATTAAATATAATATAATAAAGTAAACCAACACACGTGTATATAGTACTTCGTGGATAGGTTACGGTTACCAACAACAGAATTATGTTCTCTATTATCGTCAGACAACGATGCAAATAAATACAATAAATGATGTTCGTTCTTCGATTTTAATTATATTGTTTATCAATAAATTACTTTTAAAACAAGTCTTCAAAACTAAAACATTGTTATTTTTAAAACGTGAAGCTTAATTATTTTATATTTTGTTTTTATATAAACTAGGTATTTATTTATTTTTTTGTCTTTCTGTTAGTTTTATTTGTATTATTATTACTATATCTATTAGTTTCCATGTTTCAATAAAATATGTAGCCCTTTGTAAAAGGACTTATTTCCGTTAATTAATATAAATAAATAAATAAATAAAATATAAAATTTAGTACAAAACTTTTTATGACGGAAACTGTTAAACTTTGAAACCAATGGCCACTCGCCACCATGTGATAGTTGTATTGCAATTAAAATCATAATTAGGTTTTACGATATAATAAAATTATTTTATTTTCTATTTTTATTATAATATGCATCGAAATATAATTTGACACTGCAAAGATGAACACACGAGTTGACTAAATTTAAAGTTATCTAAATTATATAATTTATATCTTTATGATAAACTATGACTACAAATAATTGATAAACGTAAATTTTACTTTTAGTCATTTTAGATCATTTTATTTTAGTTCAATGAAAGTATTGGAGATCGATTATAGAAGTAAATACTTTTTCATATTATTACTCATACATTGTGAAAAATGTTTAAGTATTGTAGGCAAACGCAGTCAAAACTGAAAGTTTACTATTGACTAAATAAATATTATAGTTTTACTTAAGATAATCGAATTTATAAAAAAATAAATAACTATAAAATAATGCTGAAAAATTAATAAGTACTTTAGTACATTTATAAAAACTAACAATTATTGATAAAATTGAAAAATTATAAATACGACTTAGACAACAAAATTAAAACACATATAGTATATGCTTAACTTCATAATTATACCTACTTATATTAATAACTATTTAAAATTATTTTATGAAATTTCTTTGCATTATTATTTATTACACATAAATTATATTTTGCGCTTGATATTATAATAAATATAATACATCCTTTATCGATGATTTTAGATTAAAACAGGATTCTTACTAAAAAATAAATATGAAATATACATCTAAATTGTTTATAAATTATGACAATTTTTATAAAATATCATCTCATCGTCACATAATTTTTTTATTCGATCAAAGTAAAAAATAAATAAAAACATCCGATAGTGTCTAGATAAATAAAGATAACATAGTATTCCGAACAAGCGACATTTTCAGACATTATAATTATATATAATTTAAAAATAATATCATGAACACAAATAATTTCGAAATGTCAACATTTTTAAATAATATTTTTTTTTTTTTACATAAATTAATATATCCATTATCATAACGTATAGGTATATGAATGAATGAATAAATAAATAAATAAATAAATAACATATTTTGCGCAGATCGGAATGACAATAATATCTTAAAATTAAAATGCTAATAGAATAACGAAAATAATACAGATGAAAGAAAGTAAGAAATCGTCGGGGTAATAATAAATTATTTTAAGACCTGGAAAAAAAACAATATTGTAGACGTTCGCACAAGTCGTTGCGTGTCACCGTTTCTTGCCCAGCCATTTCTCCTTGATCATGTCCGCAGCCTTTTCGGCGATCATTATGACAGGAGCGTTGGTGTTGGCACTGACCAGAGTGGGCATGATGGATGCGTCCACCACCCGGAGCCCGTGAATACCATACACTCGAAGCCGCGGGTCCACCACTGCAGTCTTGTCCCACTCGGGCCCCATCTTAGCAGTGCCCACCGGATGGTATATGGTCACTGTGTAATGCCGAACCATGCATTCCCAGAAGGCGTCTGTATACCGTGGTATCATGGCACAACCGGGGAACGGTATATCGTGCAGACGGCTGCCGTACCGGCGAAACGGCGTGGTTCGAGACATGGCCACCACAAACTTAACGCCCTCCACCAGTGTGTCTACGTCCTCTTGTGCCGTCAGATAGTTGGGTAGAATCCTGGGATACATGGACGGGTCGGTGCTTCGTAGAAGTATTTCGCCTCGGCTCTTAGGTCTCAGCAACATCTGCAGATACCCACGAAACGTTAATTATTTAATTTTATTATTGTATAAACGTCACAAGGCTCATACTCTATGGGAGGATAACTGATGAGTATCCGAGAATTTAATGAAAAACATTTGAATTTAAACCATTACAAAGCTAGTGAACATAGTATTATATTTTAAACTGGGGGTCTTCATAATAATTTTATTTGAAACGATTAATAATAAGAAAATAAGAAAAATGTATTTTCTTAATAAGTTTATACTAAGATTATTATTATTTTTCTACTGTATTTTTCCTTTCGATATACTTGTTCTTCTTTATTATTGAACTCACCTATTACTATTTTTGTAATTATATTAATAGATGTTATCAATAGTCATATTTATATTTCTTATACTCTAATTATTATAATATTGTTATTTTCTACTGTTTTCCTTTCGATTTATACTTGTTACTCATTTAAAATTATATTTTATCTCACCAATTGTTATACACATATTTTAAAACATGTATTGAGCTTTTAGCCCGTTTAAACAACTAAATAAATAAATATAATATTCCTCGAATAATTACACAAGTAATACTAAAGTTCCAAGAAAAAAATCAGTGTAATGAATAATCCACCTTGTTCAATTTCTACAGCCAATACGTCATGCATTTGAAAATGTTAAACAAAAAAATAATTGTAAAACAATTCAGCCAAGCAAAGTATATTATAAATATTGAAATCTAAAATATTAAAGTATAATAGAATTAATAGAAATATTTCAATTCATCACGTTTATGATGTATTTTAACTATTAATTCTTATGTTTATTGTCGATCATCCTACACTCCGGGGCAATAAAATCTGATATATTTGTTTTTTGTATTTATTCAAGACGTTTCACTTACAGGTATAGCAGACCACACGTCTTTGTTGTTAATTGGTTCATAAACAGCTTTATAAAACTCTTCTTTCAACCCATGTGCTTTCCACAGTTGTACACCACCATCAGAATTGGTGGAACCAGACACGAAGTGTAATTCGATGTCGGGTGTGTCAATTGAATGATTAGCATATTTAGTGTTGATAAACGCCAATCCCTCGACACCGCCCATGACCGTCAACGGTCCATCGCCCATTGTAGCATAATTTAAAACCGTTTGAACGTTTTCCACTCTCTCTTGCATTAGCGATACCTGTATTATAAATAAAAGAGGACACGGCTAAATTATTTTAGTTCAATGCAAAAATATACTATAAATAAAAATGTATTTGGTTGAACAGGAGACGCACTAATTTTATCATCACAAATTTTAGAACTGTATCATGCGTTTAATTAATAAAAATAATTTTTTTTAATACAAAATAATGATTAAAATTGGTTTATTAACCAGTAAAAATTAAATAAATAGCTTCACTGAAAATTATAATGCAATTAATAAAAATAATTATACAAAATGTTTGAATCCGATTCGATAATTTGAACCTTTCATCAATAGAAATAAACTAATAATCTAATAATGTGTAAAAAAAAAATATAACCCCTAGCTGTAGTACCTAACTACAATAATCATAATTAATAATATTATAATTAGCTCTGTGCTTATGAGCTTTCGTCATTCAAGAAATCGTAGGAAACAAACCTTTTCTAAAATTTTACTATAGCATATAGGTAATCAAAAATTGACTTAAATTCAATTTCATTTCTTTAACTTTTTAAGGCGACCGCGACGTCTGACATGAAATATTATTTATAATCGTAGAAAAATAATAATACAGATATTTTAATTTAAATAAAAATGTTTTTTTGGAGCACATGCCTCCCCCCCCCCCCCCCCCCCCACGGCTAAAGCACTCCACTGCAGCGTACCTACATACGTCAACGGTCGTTGATTTTTGTCTAGTAAATTAAAATCGCATTTATTACATTATATTGATTAATGTGTTACCTACCTCTTTATTTATCAGAAACGCGAGGCCGCCGAGTCCGATGTGGTCTTGGAGATTTTTCCCCACATCTAAATCGGCTAGAACGGGTATACCCATTTCCGTCAGATGGTCCTTAGGGCCTATACCCGAGAGCATAAGCAACTGTGCAGAACTAATGGAACCCGCAGACAACAGCACCTCTTTGTTAGCCCGGATGAAGTGTCGCGTGTTGTCTTTGATCATTTCGACGCCGAACGCGACTTTCGTCTCGGGATTGATCGCCACGCGTGTGACGTGAGCATTGATGGACACGTGTAGATTTTTCCGCAATCTGGCAGGTCTCAGGAAAGCTTTTGCCGTACTGCATCTGGCTCCCCTTCGAATGGTTCCTTGAGGTATCATGAAACCGGTTTGCCGTTCGCCGTTTATATCGCGGATATCGTAACCCATTTCCTGGCCGGCTCGAACGAACGCATCGGCCAGCGGCGTTTTGTACGGCGCTTCCGACACTGTCAGATAACCACCCATCGAGTGGTACGGAGTCCGTGCTAGGTATGGGTTTCTGTTGTCTTCTGATTTTTTAAAATAATACAGCACGTCGTTGTACCCCCAACCTGGGTTACCTTGTTTCAACCAGTTGTCATAGTCCATTTGGTTTCCGCGCACATACATCATATAGTTCAACACGCTGGAACCACCCAAAACTTTGCCCCGAGGCCAATTGCAACGTTGATCTTTCATAGCTGTAATATACACGTGTTATCCGTTTATTATGTATATAAATGAATAGTATCATAAATTCATAATTAATGATAATTATTATTAAATTATTGTTTTTAAAATAATTTTACTTGAATCTTCGTATCATATATTATAATATATACACATGCATGATGATGCACTACTTATTATATAAGTGTTAATAAATTTAAAAATTTTAATGTTAAGCTAAAATTTTTAGAGCTTTTTTTTATAATAACACTTGAATGAACAAATTTTATTAATTTTATTAGTTTAAGACTAAATTTGCTGCATAATATTTTGCATTTAATTTCCAAGAAACTTAAAAATATTCAACTTTAAGTAACATTTGCGTTAATTTTCTCACTTTAGAATAGAACTTTATGAAACCTCATAACAACTATTTTTCAAAAAAGTATATAATATCTAATATTTCAATAAAACCATTATAAAATCTTAGTAATTTTATTGTTAACTATTATATTACGACTAGAATTAATTAAGTCCACAAATATCCGTCTATATATTAAATTATTACTCACCCAAACATGCTGTATCCTGGGGTTCGGCTTTATACTGCCAATCGAGCTGGGTGAGTTGCAAGTAGGCAGCCAACAAAGGCACGTCGGATAATTCAGTTTCATCTCCACCAGCTTCTATTAATAATACACTCCAATCCTCGACTTCAGTCAACCTGTTCGCCAGCACCGCACCTAAGTAATTAACATTATTTTTTATATTTATTATAAATATGTAGTTTTTAAAAATTACCGTCGCAATATCACAATATAATATATTACGAAAGTACACCGCGTATAGGTATAATAAGAAAAATATATAAAATATTATTTTCACCTGCTGATCCAGCGCCGACTATAATAAAATCATATTGGTCAAGTATCAAATTTCCGGGCTGCTCTATAATCCTTGACTCGGGATCATTTACCTCATAGTGGAAATAAGCAATAGTCGCGACCAAAACGGGCAGGAACCAGGCCACTTGCGAGGCGGCCCCTGCAATCGCTCCGATGGGTAAAACTTCCACGCCACTCATAAGTACTGCATATTATCACAACATATAATCTAAAAACATAAACAAGACACAGGTTGGGTCGCCATTGACGTTTGAGGTCACTATCACTATCGGTGGTGAAACTAACCGATGCCAATTGCCAATATTATATTTTATACCATGTACAGCGGATGTGGTGAAGAAGAAAGGAAAGGCGCCCTACGTGACAACGAGCACGTAGACGTATGTTATAATAAACATGTCGCTCTAACCTAATTTTCAAATGTGCAAAGTCGGACAGGCAAGATATAAAAACTAGGATGGCAAAAATGTCTGTTTTTTTGCAAAAACTGTATTTCAGTCAAACTGGTTCACGTTATAAAGTAGATCAGATTAATAATAAAACGTAGAGATCGTCTATTGTACCTATGATTATTACTACCTACGATAATTTTTCTTACATGGAATACAGCGGATTGAATTACTTGAATTATATGTGTATACCTACAAGACGTCATAGACTTTATTAGTTTTAAAATTCGTCGATTTATGTAAGCATGTTCAAAAATATGTTTTGAATATTATAAACACGATTTTATCCTTCGTATATGTAATACTAATACAGTATTTAAAACATTTAGCTACATCTTTATAAAATATAATATCTTTGTGTAATAGATATCTTAAATCACCTACCAAAATGTATTCCAGTTAGTGTTTTGTTGTATGTAATGAAAAGTTGCTTCTGCGACGTCAAGCTATAACTCACTCGATAACGTATCAAAACAAATGCAACGGCGAATGGTGGCTCAGACGAAGATCAAATACATAACATGTATAATATACATAGTTATATTACACTACATCGATAATGCGCGAACGGTAGAGTGATCCGCAAATCAAAATAAACACAATAGACTCACACAGGTACGTTATTGTCGTCTCAGCAATGAAATAATTAATTTAACAATGACGATATCAATAAGACACTATATTCAATATCGGCAAATCATACGTACAATATAACACACGCGTTCTTGGGTAGGTTACAAATAACGGACTACGTACCTCCTCTACACGTCTAGATCAACGACCTTACGCACTGACATTGAGATGAGTAATCCTACAGAACCGCGCGCACATATATAACGGTATTCATGCAAGACACTTAGACGTCCACCTCTCTGATGCTCATCGAACCAGTTTGAAATAGATATAATTAAGTAGGTATACGGTGGCGCTGCGGCGTGTCATCATAAGCCCTAACAACTGAAAATTGGATAAATCTTTTCCATCTCTCTCAGTGAGATGATTGCTTCCAGCGTAATCAGGACTACCATAACGTTAATTCAACTACTCGGTCGGGCAAAACATTATAATGGATTTAAACTACATTTTCTCGAACGAATATTTTTTTAATTTATTTTTTTATGAAATTATCGCAAAAAAAGTAATTCACATCAAGTGATATTCATTGAAGTTAATTTAATTATTCCGGATCAAAAATATACTTGAAACACACTAAATTATTTAGGCATAGTACTTACCTACACTAGAGTAAACTTTTAAGACATAAAAATAAAATATATAATTATGATGTATTCATTAGGTTCATCATAATTATTATAAGCAAATATTTTTTAGATAAATATACAAAATATTTTACATACCAAAAAAATGAAATTTCCTTCTTTGAAAATATTGTTAATTACTTATTACACTTTTAGTCAAGACTAATTGATTTTATTTGTAGTAGACTTCTTTTATTGGGTGTCAATAGATTTTATTTAAACACATCAATTATTCTTTTAAATAGAATACGTGTGTATAGCTGTATAGGTAAGTATAGTATGCAATAATTATAAAACGATTACATTTAAATTAGATTATCCCACGTAGAATATATTAAACACAATATAATAATATAATTATCACTAATAATAAAACATTATAGTGGAATATTATATCATTAATTTATTGAAGGACATAATAATTCCTAATAAATATTTTTACAATTCATATTATAATTACTTAATTTGTTAAATATTTAACAAAAACTAAAACATTTTGAATCTTTATTCATAGTTTAAATGAATTACTTTAAATATATTGAATAACCATAAACTAATTTTAAACAATATAAGTGAATAAACATAGCCATATAGGTAAGTATATATTATTTTATTAAAGATCGCTAGACGCACAACATTTCAAATCATTATAAATTGTTATTTATTAAAGGATCTATAAAAGGTTTGATACATTTTATGTGTTTGACACAATAAAAATATAATAATAATATTTATAATATTATTAAAATCAAACGAAGATATAAGTAATACTATAATATCAATAATATAATTAATACTACGAAATAATAATATTAATATTTAATATTACTAACTGATAAAAAAATTTTTTTTTAAACCAATAAAATTAAAATATAGATAAACTACTAATCAAAAATTCCAATTGCATATTGATAAAATATTGTAAAATATAGAAGTAAGCCTCAACAGGACCAGCTCAAGATGCAAACAGGTTTATTTGTACCTTTAATTATAGTAAAAATATACTTGGAATATCTGAATATGTAAAAGTACGTGACAGAAAACAACATTATATATTATATTATTCTAGGTATTGTGTTAAAAAAAAATGTATAATTCTTTATATGTGATCTATGGGTAAACACTAATTTTATCATGAGTTAAATTAATAAACACATATTTTATTTTCATGTTTCACTCAGTTTTAGAAGTTCCGGAAACTTGATCCTAAAAATGAAATAAAACAATATTAATTAAAGGTAGATGTTTAATTTTACCCCCAAACACTATTAGCTTAATGGTATACCTTCACAGAACTTGCGTATTCTACCAATTTGGCAACAGATTTTTCAAGCAGCGATTTGAGTTCGTCCACAATTTTTTTAAATTCAATTGAATCATAATTTAAGTGTTTATCAAATCCAACAACATTTTTTGATATGAAATCAATAGTGAAGTAAAATTTTCCTATTGCTTTATCCGGTGTTTTCTCAGTCACGTCAGACACTTTATTTAGCTTTTCTAAATCGTTCAACCAATCAGTCAACTGAGTTTTTAGTATCCATATATTTTCTGATTTTATATCATCCATCTACATAAAAAATACAACATAAATAACACCTTACAATATGTAATGACACAAATACGTAATAGAATGACGTCATTCAAAATAGACAAAGCGTGCTTGTGTTTGTCCATGTACAATTTTTAGAGCTCATGCTAACTGGCTTCCTAAGTTAAAAAGGTCAATAATTTTTTTACTAGTTGCCTTTTAACGTACTTTAAATTACATCGTAAAAGAAAAAAGTCTAGTAGATACTTCTACTAACGGTCTCCCAAGTCCCAATGAGCAGATAATAAATATGTAAGTAATCCTAAACAATTCAAAATATTTATACGATAAAAAATATTATTATAATAGTTAAAATACAATATTTATAAAAATAACAAATATGTTTATTTATAACTTAAATTATATTACCAAATGTTTTTTTACCAATCAGTGATATTATTATTTTTTATGGTTGTGTAATATTTATACAATTAATATAATATGATATATCTAAAGTTGATGTTTTTTAATCGTATTTAATTTTAAATATCGAAAGAAAAATGTGTTTAACATTTACACTTTCCTCGTTGTTTTTAACATATATTAAGTTCTTTCTGAACTTAAAACAAAATCATATTTATTTTAATAAAATAGAAAATTATCTATATAGTATAATATACTTATAAGAATAATACTAAACATGATTATTATTATTATGTAAAAACAATGTAATACAATACATTATACATAAATAAATTTATCTGTTTATATATTCAGTAAAGTTTATGAGCTACTACTTAATTCTATATGAAAACAACTATGAACATTTTTAAGAATCAATTATGAGATATATTATTATTTTTATTTGCGATAACGATGGGAGAAAATTCATATATTTTGAGAAGCAAATAGAATGTACTGAACTTTTAAAAGCCAATGGACAATGAAAATGAGTACGTCACACTCGTTTATCTTGTCTTTATCTTATAAACGTATTATATTATATGGCGAATTAGCATTCTCTTAAATACGTATCTACAATACTTTTGTTTATTTGTATGCATTGTTTTAATCAAAACATATTAACTAGATACTTTCATAACTTATAGCTTTAAGTGATTGCCAAATATATGATGTATCTACCTGGGTATAGATTATTAAGTTATAATTTAAATTTAAGAGATGGATATAAAATGTTTATCTATTGGTATCTCCCATCAATGGTATATTCTTAATTTATGCAGTTGCCCAATAAAATTATCAACTATTGGTATTTGACATATTATTTTAATTGTAATATATCCTAATCATTATAAAAATATTACAATTACCTATAACTTTTTATGTATAAATAATGATTACCTTACTAATTTCAATTTATACAGAATACCTGTTTAATAATCTTAGACAATTCATTTCTCGTGAACTTTGTAAATGTATCGAATGCTTCATTGGTAATCGTCTTAATTTTTTCATTTTCTACACCATATGATTCTATTTTTGACAAAGAATCTTTTATAGAATTTTGGGCATCAACTATCCATTGATTTTCAGCGATTTCAATCGGTATGCTATTACCCTATAAACACACGTGTAAATAATATGTATTAAATATTAAATTATAAATTATAAGGAACTAAGTATCTCAACATCTACTTACTTATAGATTTATTATTATTTCATTAAGCCATATCAATTTAAAGCAAAATTTTAAATAATTAAGTAATCTCATGCAGTTATCAATTAAAATTATTATTCGGTTCTATGGAATGATCGGATCGAGTATAATATCGATTCAATTTTAGTTTAGGTATGGATTGCAATTCATCTATCTTCAAAGTTGAAGACCAATATTATACAATATATTTATGATAAAAAAAATATGTTTTTCTAAGGATTTATTATTGCTTTTTCAGATACCTATACAGCTATACCTACATATAACACATGCACTTATATATACTACTCATGTGTTGGTACAATGTATAGTTTATTATTTTTTGTCTATGTTATATTTTATTAATAAAAACTATCTACTTGTAGTTCAAATATAATGATAACTTAAGGTAGTTAAATTAAAAATGATAAATATTATTGTCAACCAACTAAGTTATACGTTTTTCATAACAAGTTGTTAAAATATTGAAAATATATGTACTGGAGTAATAAGTAATGATTTATAATACTTACTTTAACGGTGACTAACACAAACAATGTTATACATACAATGATAATATTTAAAACGGCCATCACTGCACTTAAAAATTATTTTTTAGTCAACTCGCGAGTAAAAATTTACAACTGTCAATTTTATTGAGACAGCCAAGATCGCTATTCCTTTTATACTCATTGTCGAATAGATGTATGTAATTTAAGCTTGGTCCCCACTATAATCAGGTACAGAGCAGACATTTTCAAACACATAATCATTTCATAGGTAGATGCTCATGTTATCTAATATAGTAGTATGTAATCGAATCAAAATCAATATAGCTATTATTATTATAAATAGAATTTATTTAAGTTTATCAATATAATGTAGATAAAGATAAAACAGTTATTTATTATAAGCATTTTATTAATTGTGTTAAACAATAACAAAATATTATAGATAATTGAGTATTATTTACTGTATTATAAGAATTAAACAATTATTATTTATTATAAAATATATAGTAGGTTCTTATGTGTATTAAACGTGTACAGTGTAGCATACATAAATGCATAATTTAATAGTAACTACATATTATATACCTAGGTACATAAATATATTTTAAACCCACATTTCTTACATAAAAAAAATAATGTTTAAGTCGGTAAACCTATTATTTAATTAAGTTTGTATTAGCCAATATACCTACCATGTTTAGTTTTTACGCTTAATATTAAATACTGACCAAATTTGAAGTTTATAACTCAACAAACGATAAGTAAGTTAATAAAAATATCCAATTATCTTTAAAAAAAAAATAGTAATGATAATAAGCACATAACTTCCTACCTATTTAAAAATATAGTTATTTATTTTCCCATAATTTTGTACCTCTTTAAATAGTTACTTCTTAGAATAAATAGTGTGGAACAATAAAAATAATTATTTTATTTGATACAGATCATCAATTTTTATAAGTGTACGTTATTTTATATTTAAATAAATAATCAACCTTGAAAAATATATTTTTATTTTTATATAAATAAGTGTTTGAAAAAATTTGACAAATTATATAAATATAATTTTTTTAAGTGATATTTATTTTAAAATAAGTGTATAGGTAATCCATTAATTATTCAATTAATTCATGAAAACTGGAATAAAAATATATAAATATTTTTCTACAGTTTCTTTAAAAGCAAAATTAATTACATAACTATAGTTTTCAGAAATATGTAACATGAAATTATTTATATTATTACGTACAAAATCGTATGATTTTCAAGTTTTGAACTTTAATATCTTAATACAAGTATTTTTAATTTGGATTTATAACTTGTGTAATTCAAAACCTAAGACGGCAATAACAATATGGAAAACGAATAAAAATAATGTTGTATCTACATTCACTAATATCAGTACACTAAAAAAGTATTATTTTAACGAATCATTCTTATGGTTTCATTACATTGTTGTGTAGAATTTACTGCCTACAAAAAAATATATTTATATTTTATTTTTATAATTCTATGAAATTTGAAATGTGACTATTTTAATTAAGGCAGTATTGATAATAACTAAAAGACGTAATTCATAATACAAATTTGTAATATCTACCTAATTAGTTATAATTAATAACTAATTAGTATATACTATAACAAGTAGTATATTTTTTACTAAAACAAATAATAATTATACGTTTTTTCAAACTGTTTTTTGAATAGTTATTTACTCAAACTAATTTTAAAATTCATATTCAAATTTAGTTTTAAACACGAAAAACTGCTTAAAAAATTATTTATTTTACAACAAACTGAACGTGATTGGCATAGGTATTTAAAAATGTTTATTTTGGTTCGCACAAAGAACGATACTTAACAGACCATTTGATTTTTTTTTTAATCATACTAAACATAAATTTACGTACCTAGTTCAAAAATATAAAGTTTTTTCAGTTTAAAATACTATACTATGTTATTATTAACTATTATTTACAACGATGGGTATTTAAAAAAAAAAAAAGATAACATAATAGATATACAGGTTGTACATACGTTATATCTAACCGGCGCGCTGAAAATTGGGCACTTGTCCCATTTTACTAACCTCGACGCAAGACAAAATCGTATTGATAGGTATTAAACATTCTCAAATTATTGTACAAATTTACCAATTGATTCTAGTGAAATAAAACTTAAAACTATAGAACTTACTATAGGTACTTAACATCGATTCTCGCGTGAGATTAGCATTCGTATTCTTAATGTTATCTATGTACCAATTAAACTTCAAGAAATCATTGAAAAAAATTAATATTGACTTATTCTAAGAGAATTATTAATTAAATTTTCATTCTAAAACGATTTTACATGAAATTTGTAAAACTTTTACAGGCTATCAAATATATCAAAACAAATTATTATTAAGTAAAATCAACATACACTTGAATAATAATTTATTTACATTATTATTATTTATTTAAATACAATTATTAGAAATAATTTTTTTTTATTATTTAGGTAGGTGTGTAAAAGAACGTTTATTAAAAATTTAAAATTTAAACAAAAAATAAGTAGGTATGATAAGAAAATTTGGTTAAAATATAAATGACAATGGACGACTTGCAAAAAGTAATTATTTTAAGTTTAATGTATAATCAGTAAATAGGTACCTACTTAAGTATCATTTATCAAAGATATCATATTATGATTTATAAATATTGTATCTGTATGAAATAAAAAAAATGTGTCTTAGTAGGTAATTAACTATTTAAGTTCGTATTACTTAGTTATTAAAATCAATTATAATAAAATATATTACTCGTATGTTCGAATATCTACATAAAGAGTTAATATATTTCAAGATAAATACAATTTAATGAGTTCTTTGCTTTTTCATAGAAATATAACTACACAATTAACATAGAATATTATATCTTATATCGATTAGAAACAATGAAATGTTTATTGTATAAGAATAGGTAGGTATTTAAACAAAGAATAACTGATAAACGTAGGTAATTACCTGTAGTTATAAAGGTGTGTAATTACTGTAATTGACAACTTACCTCCAAGTACAGAAATTTTTTTGAAAGTATTATAGAATCTGAAAACATAATATCTTTATTGAAACGTTGATATAAAAGAGTTTACTGTAATGTAATAGGTACCTAATCGCAATCTTGATAAGTACCTTGCGACTCGCTACCCATGTTTTATTTTAATTTGTAATGTGATCATATTAAATAAAGTCTTTTGTTTATAGTAGGTTAAGAAATGGTCAATTTTCACAATAAGTAGTTTAGTAGGTAGGTACTTATCAGTAATTTATATTTTTGTGTATGTTTATGTATATCAAATATCAACTATCACTATTCACTATATATGAATAGATATTTTAAACCTAGAAAAAAAAAAACGTCAAGTAAAAAAACAACACGGTAAAAACGTTAATGTGTAAAAAATGTGTTTACACAAAAATCACATTTAAAATAATTGTTGAATTAAAATATTGAAAGTATAAATAAATAAATAATACCTAATAAATCACAATAATTGAAAATTATTTTCGTTTAGAATGTGGGTCATATGTTACAGCCAATATGAAAAATTTTAATTTTTAACAACTATAAATATAATTTATAAGCTTGTTATCAAATTAAAATATAAAGCAAACAGGTATAGGTAAGTAAAAGTGTAAGACGCTGCATAGTTCGGTTACCTTCTTTCAGGTTATTTTCAATATTTTATTTAAATCAACTTTACGTGTAACAGTAAGCCGTAAGTACCGAGTATTAAATTTTGATAAGTATATATTTTGACACAAGTAATTAGCAATCAACTATAATACAACAATTTATTTAGAATACTTCAAATTAAAAATGTACACTTTATTGCAATAAAAAGTTTAAATTTTAAGACAAAAATTTCAAACGCTTACCTATGCTTGCATATTAAGTTAATTTTATAGAACATTTTTCATTTTTATATACCTATATTTATAATTGTATCTACCTTTTTATTTTATACTAAATATTATATAATTTAAATATTGTAAATATTTTCTTTTCCAGGAGATTTATACTAAAAAGGAAAAGCCATTTTTTCCACAGTATTAAAATATTTTACCGTAGCCAACATACATGTCTGAATCACTTTTTTTTGCTAATTTAATAAGTTTTTTATTTTGCATACTTACCTACATCGGATTTTTCATATGGATACTTGCACGCATTGGTTATCAGTTGTCGGTATTGTATGAACTTTGACTTCTATAGTTATAAAACATGCAATCTTAAGTTTTTTATGAATTATCTATAGGAAATATTACAAAAAAAGAATTCAAAATTATACAATTCTTCATTAGAATTAACCAAATAGTATATATCCTTTTACAGTTAGTCGGTAATTGGTATTAAGTTTAAGCAGGGTTCGGGAATTAAACACTTAAAATCATTCAATTAAACGCTTAAAAATATCTTTATAAACACTCCGATAAGTATTTAAAAAAATTAAATTTGAGCAAAAATATTTGATTAAAAAAACTTTCTTTTTTCATGGTAAAGTAGGTACTAGACATAATTTGTGACTGTGTTAAAAATAATTTAATTAATATATAAAGATTACAAAAAATATCGAAAAAAAATTATTAGAAAAACTTTCAAACTAAAAAATCAATAAAGCTTTATATTATAAAAAAAATCAAACTTCACTTTCGAGATATTTTGCCTTAATATTGTTTATTTTATCATAAACAAAATTGCAGGAAAAAACCATAAAAGTAGAAAAACGGGTCAAAAAATCAAAAATAATCGGGATAAGTATTTTTTGAAAAGCTATTGAAAAAAGCTAAAAAAAGCACTTTCAAATTTCATAATTGAAAGTGTTGTAATATAGAGTAAATGACATATTACACTTCCATACCACTCTGCTACATTTGTAATCAATCCATAAAAATAAGCAAATGCTTAAAGTCTAGAGTTCTAGTTATAAGTTAATATCTACTGGTTTATAATAATATTAAGATATTTATTACATAACGTAAAAGATTTCTTTTAGTTAAAAATACCAAATTATTAATAACAATATAAATATATAATAAAATATAACTAAAATGTATAGACTGGCAAGCCACTTCTCATATGGCTTTTAGTATACAATAATTCATTTCATAATTAAAATTTAACACATCTCCATTATAATTACCCACTCACATTGCTTACACCATTTGTTATACAATAGACAATAGAGCAAACTCCCTGGTTTTTAAAATTTTAACTAGCAAAAGGATATTAAGAATTTTAAGTTTTAAAAATAATACTTTGTAAATAATCCAATACTAAGCAACTTTATAATCATATAATAAATAAATAATTGTTTGTATGAATATTTATCAATGTTCTATAATATTTTATAGTTAACATACAATAAACAAACTAACGCACAAAATAATTTGTACAAACCATTTAACAAATAAATAATACAAACCACAATATATTATAGTGTCAATGCCATTATAAGAAATGCAACAATGATCTCCCAAAGTATAGTAAATGTGAGAATAATACAATAAGTATGAATATTAAGATATAGAATAATAGATATACATGTTCATAAATAAAAGCAATCCATGAACGTGTTTACAGTGAAATGTGTTTAAAAAGTTGATCACACTTAAACAATAATCTAAAAGGGAAAATTTAAAATATAAATTAGGTAACACAAACATTACATAATATATTTGGTAGGTACACACAGCTTAGTCATTATAACTATCAATTACAAGAATTTACACTAATACTTTAAACATAGCAAAATAAACAATTATCTTAACCATAATAATAAAATAAATCATATATTTTTATAGAAATAAATAAAATACAATAGAGTAGGTGTATATATGTTTAATACAATATAATATACAAAAATCACTTCAATTTTCAAATTGAATTCATAACATATTTGATAATTTTAAGACTATCCTCCTTACATACCTTTGATTTTATTTCAGATTTTTTATGAAACTAATAAGTAATAAATGTATATATTATAGATATGTTTAAATTAAACATACCATTTTATTAATTACTCATATGTTTATTATAATACATATAGTTAAATTTTAACATCAATATTTATTATTTATCAATTATCAAAAGCCAAAATAATTGTATTTTGCATATTTATTTTAAACTTTAGCAAGATACATTTAAACATCTAAAATAATTGATTAAAAGCATTTTTTTTATAAAAGTTTAAATGAATTATTAGTTATGACAATAAGCAATTTATGTATTTATATTTTACTTAAAAAAAAGTCTATTTTAAATTAAATGAATGTAATTTAGATCTAAAAAATATAAATATTATTTTATAGTAATATTTCATAAAATACTTATTAAGTATAAATACATTAAATATGCATAATAAACAGAATAAATGAATAAATATTGTTTAGTTCCTTTATACTTTTATAATTAAATATTAAATAGTTTAATATAGAAAATTTAACTTTAAAGAAAGTATAAATTGAAAAAATGTACGCATTTCAAAATAAAATTACGAATATTACAATTAAAAAGAAAATTAATTTTACAGAAAAATAAGAATAATAAATTACATAAAGAAAATGCTAATAATCACAGATATTAATGGATGGAATTTATTATTTTCCAAATTCAGTTTTTAACAACCATGTAAGCATTAAAAACTATAACAAAAAGAAAGATCAATACATATGTGTTTAATAAGAATTAAATTAAATTTCACAAAAAAAAATTATATCTTTTTAAATATTAAAGTTAATATTATACAACTTGAAATAAACTACAAAAGATCAGTTCAAAAATAAAAATTGCACTCAAATTTAAAATGGTTTTATCATACTTAAAAAAAAATTATTAATGTTTTCTAATTATAAGTATTTGATTGTACATAAACACAAGTTGACTTAAAGTATCTTTAGTATAAATAACACAATCACTATATCACTATAATCATTCAAAAATAATGATGTCTGTACATTCATAATTAATTTGTAAATTATATAATAATCAGATGAATAAATAATCTTAACTGTCTATGTTTAATTTGACATAAATACATTTACAGAATAACCACTATTTACTATTTAGTAATCATTTAATATAAGTAAATATCTACATTGAGGATTGGTATTTAGTAACCCATGATAACACACTTCAAATAAAAAATATATAACACATAATTAATTTTTTATAAATTATATCATGAATTCAAATAAATCTAAAAATGTAAACACTTTTATAGTTTCATTATTAATAGTTCAATTCTTATATTAAGTTATAGAATATTATACAATTTTAGTTAACCAGTCATTTTTCTTATTTTATTTGTCAGCTAAGTAACTATGAGAAGAGATAGGTGATATAATGATAAATCACCTTTAGAACCGTTTTTTTTTTTTACTCTGTTAACTTGTTATTAATTTATAATATTTATCATTTTGATATATAAATGGTCACATGTTCTGTGACTTGAGATCACACGTTTTCTATTATAGCTATATATACATTATGATAAAGATTTTAGTACCTATCACAATTCAAAGATCTGAGAAAATTAGAAATATTATTAAAATATGTAAGAATTATTATATATATTATGAGATATAAAAATTTGTTTAATTCATAGATGACACTTAGCAAACATACTAAGAGAAGCAAAAATTAAATATTTTAAAATAGGAATGCAAATTGGAAAAACTTTTGTATTGATAAAACAAAATAGCATTAAAATATAAGTACACTCATGAACTATTGATTTCATTTTTTTTTTTTTTTTTTTTTTTGTAACGTCATACCTTATTTTATGATGTTGGGAGGGGACAAAAAAGTACTATTTTCCCTTCGAATACTATGGAAACAATGCCTATACCTATCCTTCCAAATTACGTTTATAATTTTATTATGACCCTAGTTATGCCACTGCTTATTTTATCTACTAATTCATATTTAATTGTAATAAATGTTTTCATGTCCAATATATTGATTAGTATACAAAACCAGAGTATGTCATTTTAATTTTTGTAGGAATATTTAGTAACATTTATAAATCGGAATGTTTAATGAACTGGCTTTATTGGAATTTAAACAGTTTTAAACCATCTTTAGTTTTTTGTAATCTTAAATCTGTATAGTTGTTTTGTTTCTTGTACTCATTTGCATCATTTTTGTGTATTTTTACTGGAGTTATTGATGTTAATGGTTCCATGAACAATATACAAACATGTCTTAAAAAGATAACATTAGTACATCCATGATACTGGTAAAGAAATTTAACTCAGACTAAACATCTTTCCTTCAAACTTGTTTTTAATTAAAATCTAAATTATTTTGTCATTTTATACCATACAAGATTTGGCGAATTTTATATACTTTAATATTTTTTGCCCCCAGCAAATTTTTACATTTCTACAACTAAATTGACGTCTACGTGTGTTGTCAAAGGTTAAATACTTGTAATCTATATTAGTTATTATTTTTTCTAACAATTTTTATAACATTTTTATGACTTAAAACATAAAATAAAATATGAACAAAAATAAATTTAAATACTTTAATAAATATTTCATATACTTTACTTTACCATCAGATCAAAAGTTTAATAAAAATATAACACTCGTTCTTGTGCAGGAACACTAAGTAGCCTCCAACCACGTTTGATATTCATATATTGTATGACAGCACGAATACAAATCAAAAATCCAAATGCCATAACTAACCACCAAAGCCATGTATTTGAACGACTTTCTGGTGATAAATCAGACATCTCAGTATTTCGTTTAACTATCATCGTCCATTTTGCTAATGATAATCCAAACCCAGCAAGTGCTCCATAACGAGCTGCTACAGTTTGGCATAAACACATTAACACCAAAAATCCCACCCAATTGAATAGCAAAGCCACTAAAACAAAAAAAAAAAAAATTTTTAATTAAATTAAAAAATAAATATTTAAAAAATGTATTTATACCCAAAAAAGCAGTTAGAAACATATAGTCTGTGCCTAATAAATTAGTATCAATTTCACATGGATTAGGTGCAGCATCAATTGTAAGAACAGTCAATGTTTGTGCAGGTATCTGAAAAAAATTATAGAACATGTAGTGTATTTAATAAATTTTCCATGCACATTTTTTACTGAAATATTAAAGTTATCAGGAGTTATATAACTCCAGACAGAATAAAAACAAAAACATTCTATTGTTTTTAAAGAATCAACATGATAAGCTTAAAATAGATAATCAAGACTTACGTAGGCTGTCCGATAAATAAGGTACAAAAATATACCGAATAATGAAAAATAAATTTATTACTTTAAAACTTCTACACAATAAATTAGACATATTTTGCTATTTTTCTATATAGTCACCATTTAAATTGATGCATTTTTCCCAACGATGGAATAATTTGAAAATGCTATCTCGGAAATATGCAGCACATTTTTCATCGAAGTACTCTGTAACTGAGTTCATTACCTCCTCTTCATTTTGAAAATGAGTTCCTCCTAAGTGTTTTTTTTAACGGACCGAACAAAAAAAAAAAACTGAAGGTGCCAGATCAGGACTATATGGTGGATGTTGCAATAATTCCCACTTGTACTTTTCTAGCCAAGCTTTAGTCTTTCCCGCTGAATGTGGGGTCTGGTGTAAGCATTTTCGGAACCCAACGTGAACAAACCTTATGAAAATTTAATTTCTCATGGACAATTTCATGTACAGTGGTCTTTGGTAGATCAAGTTGTGTAGCCATTTCCCTAATTTTAAGTCGTCTATCCGATCGTAACAATTTTTCGACCGCCCCAATGGTTTCGGCGGTGGACGTGCTTATTGGTCGACCATTTCTTGCTTCATCTTCAACACTTTCTCGACCTGAATTAAATTTTGTACACCAAACTGATACACTTTTTCGAGACATTACGTGCGGGCCATAAACTTCGGTTAATTTTCTATGAATTTCAGTCGGAGAAACATTTTGAAAATTAAAAAACCGAATGACGGCGCGAACTTCTTCTTTTGTGAAACTTAAATATTGGTTTTCCATGTTTAAACTTACGTATTCAACGGAACACTTAAGTAAAATAGTCATGATGCATAGAATACGTCGTTTGTTACATATATTATCAATGCTGAAAATTTCAAGCCGATATCGTCTATTGTTTACGCCAAAAATAACTTTGTACCTTATTTATCGGACAGCCTACGTATGTATAAATATTTAAACAACAATATAAAAATTATATACATTGTGTAAGAAAATAAACTATTCACTATAATTTTATTAAATTAAATATATACTTTAGAGCTATAAAATATTAACATTAATTATAAATATTATTGTTTAAAATCAACAGTATAAATATTAGGGTATATTACTTTAATTATTAATTACTATTAAAAAATATATAGACTTTTCTGATAGAAAATAAAATAAAAAAGTACCTATAGGCTATAATGATAACAATACATAATACATATTTCAAACTTAAAATTATAAATTTTAATGTATCAGCAACAATAAATCAAAATGTTTTATAATTACTTCTTGTGGTAATGGTCCAATGCTAGGAGGTCCTCCAATAACTCTTCCCTGAAAAATGTTAACTATGTTATTGAAGCAGTATTAATTAAATTATTTTTAATCAAAAAGAATTAGTGAAACTAACAGGCAACCTTGGAGATGTTTCTCCTTCTAATCTCTTTTCCATTTGCACTTCTTCATAAGTTGGTAGTTTTACAAATTCTGGGTTACAGTCTTCATATGGTGGAGGAGCTGAAAAGTCCAATCTAGGAGGCTGCATATCATAATGCTAAGGAATAAAAATAATTGAATATTTCATTTATTTTTTATTAATATAATTTAATAAGGTACCTGTGGTGATGTCGGTGCATGAATTGGATTTTGCTGAATTGTATCAACATTTCCATTTTCTGATTCTCCTGTTTGAGTATTATTTGTCATGTTTGTATATACAGGAGGAGGAATATCCTATATAAATCACATTAAATATATAATACCTCAAATTTTCAAGTAAAATTTTGAATTTTATGGATGCATTTAAAGGTAATATACTTTAAGATATAATTTATTTTTATTGAAAGGATCAATGTTATATGCCTTGTTTTATTATTAATTCAATAAAAAAATTATCAATTATAATTTATATTTATATAATTCAATAATTGGTGTGATTCGATGATTCAATAAGCAAATGCATAAAAACATAAAAATAAAATAATCTGGATACTAAATATTTTGTTTACCCACTTTTAGAATAAACAATTTTCAATGTGGACTTTGCCATTAATTAAAATAAGATAACCATCATAAGCCATTAATAAATCCTAAACTATATCTTTTTCAATCTTTCTGTAACATGTTTTATGTAAATTTTGCATCAAACAAATATTCTAAGAATATAATTTGTATATTTTTATGATATAATTACCAAGTTTTAATCCAAAAATAATAACATAACAATTATTATCAAATTAAAATTGTATACTCCTACTTACATAATTTAAATTCAAAAAAATAAATAAATATAGATACTTAGTATATGATATTCCATGATATACAAACTTAAAGTCATTTAAATAGTGTAATAATTAAAAATATTACATATTACCCAAGTAATGAATAAAATATAGAATAGTTCATAATATTTACAAAATATTGTAAATAGCTAGTAAGATTTTTTTTTTTACATAAAGAATGATTGTATCAAAAATATAACATTTTCATTAATTAAATAAATGAATAAAAGTTATCAATTTTCAAATATTATTTTAGTCCTATCCTTTTCAAAACAAATATTTTAAATAATAATTTTTTCAAGAATGTTATCTTTATTTCTGCAAATATTAAAATATAAATAAAGTAATGACATAAAACTATAAAAGCAAGTTATCTGTTTACCATTATCATACACTTACATGAAAAATACATTTTTTGTTTAAATTTTAGATAACTTTATATTATGATATAACAATATAGTTTATAAATAAAAAACTCAAAGGTAATTTAATTAAATTTAATAATTTTAGTTGACAAATGATTAAATGTTTTCATTTATTTCCTTCATTAAGTTTAGCTACAATAGTAAATAGGTATATGTGTGAAATGATAATACTCAATTTATATGTAATAATACTAACCATGATATGGTTTTCTGGTTGTCGACTCATTTTTGACAGAAATTAATATTTTGTAATACAAAATATGTCTAATATTAGAATCTGTTATACAGTTACTTCAACATTTATAAGCAAGACGAGATCAGATCATTAAACTCTAATCGGATAACAATTTGACGTGCTCCAGTTATTCAATATAGCTATTGTACAGCGAAATCTCTGCTCCAAAATGAGTCACGCGGAATTATGAACTAAATGTATTCAGTGTTTCACATTTTACATAGGTAAACAGTAATTATTAGCAATTACACATAACACCAGTAAAATTAAATAAAAATTAACTAGGAGAAATCTAACTTAACCGAGTTTCGACACAGTGGCTAGTGAGTAGAGTGAAAAGCTTGAACATTGAACAATGAACATATGTTTAATCGTTCTATCGAGTTGTTGATAAAGTATTGATAAGGAACGAACGCGCACTGTTCGTGACGTCAAGACGTACGAAATCGATAAGCCATATCATCAATGTTATTATTCATTGAGGTATATTATAAAATATGGTCTACAGTACAAACTAATAACAATTAACCATTAGTATTTAGTTAGATGATAGTTCGTAGCTATAGCGTATACATCATACTTGACAAAAGAGTTACATTTTGTCACGAGTTACAAATTATAATACTTCGATGTCATTTAATATTTTACTTTGTTATCATTATTATTGCACAACGCGCCATTATCGATGGTCGTTAATCGTTGCCATGAACTATAAACATAAAATATTTACGTATTATATAACTTACTGTTTCACTGGTCAAACGACTCGTTGCGACAATTTTATTTTGTTATTTCATTATAAGATAACAAATTATTTTTTTTACATTTTAGCATATTTAAATCTAATGAAAAATGTATTTATACTAATTGTATATAAGAAAATTAGAACAATTAAAATGCATTCCGTCAATGCAATTTGTGATAGAATTTCATAACATAATTCAGAATTTTATGCCAACTGGCTACTATCTATCAATTACAAGTCATTTCTAGTCTATGATTTAATTGCTTCGTGTTCTGAGTATAATGTATCATGCCAAAATAAATCACACAACTTGTTTGATACGCTCACCCCGCTCAAATATTTCTTCACTATAAATATGTATTAGGTACAGTGGGCAGTGGCACCGATGTCAAATTCATATGGTATTGCATATAAATAAAATCTAAAATAGTTAAGTACCACCACCATTTTTTTTCTTCAAATACACCCGTAGGGGACAAAATAGTAAATTAAATTCTTAACTTCAGATGTTTCTAATATATTTCAAAAAAAACACGAATAAACTGACAGACTAAAAATAGTAATTAGTAACAACTAATAATTGCCCATCACTAGCATTTAAAAATTATGTTTATATAACAATCACATAATGTTGATAGGAGCAACAATTATTTATTAAACAAACAAATACATTTTTAACATTATTTAATCTTAATACATTTTATAATACGTATTTTCATTAAAATTAAAATTAATTCCAAATAATTTTAAAATAACAACACAAATTATTCGTATATTTTATCACCGTAGAACTCCAGGTGTTAATATATTATTGGGCATCATAGGTGAATAAACAATAATATATGACATAATAAGGTAAAAATCCACCAATCAAAAACTACGACACGGCTTAGGTGCAATGACTGAAGAGTATATAGGTCTTATATTTATTACTTTTACGATCTTATGTGATCGTTTCATGATATATAAATATATAATATATATAGGTTAAGGATATAACAACATTATTTGTATTTTTTTCCTTTCCCGACCACAGGTCGTAGAGGTCACTTGTCTTAATGTATATATAGTTAACTATATACTTAGTTTTGTATATGATATTCGATGACATAATTATTTATATTTGTATAATGATAAACAACATAAAACCATTAATTATAATATACTCGTATACTAGAATAATTATTGAAGGGTAGGCGGGAATAACGTGCTATGTAACAATAATTATTCGTAAATTGTTCAACAACATCTAAAAAACCCAAAATGTATTAATTATTAAAAGTTTTAATAGTCAACAAATCAACGGTTTTTAAGTTTGTACACGATGATTGTGTACAATAAAAATATTCTAGGAATTTTTCGATTCTTAAAATATATCGAGATTGCTTCATAACACGTTATCGCACTAAAACATGAAATTCGAAAAAAAAATGTTACATTGCACGTTATTCCCGTCCACCTTTCAATTATTGATAAATAAATATATATATATTATGATATCTAAAGCGATACTCATCCAACTATATTTATATTTTATTAATATTGTAGCTAAAATTCATGTAAGCAATTTTGCGATTCACATTAACCAAGGAAGTTTCAAATCATGCAACTATTTATAATACCTCTGCTTACATTTATACTTAATATTAAATTTAATCTAAGTATTTAATGGTTTTTTTACAGTATTTTATTCGCAAAACTATAAAATGTAATATGTTTACCTTTATTACGATTTACCTATTCATTCCAGTCGACTTGACGATATTTCTTACTATAAATATAATGTAGTCTGTAAATGATAAATATAAAATTTATTTACACTATCTGATTATACCTCATGCAATGATGTATTTATATTATTTGTGTAATTGTGTCGCGATTATTAACATCATTATTATGTGTCGTATATGTACCAATTTTTACTTTTTTATATAGCACAAAAAAAAAACATTCATTTTTCTATTAGTATTACGGTAGATCAATTTAATTTTTGCCGAAAACATTTAATTTATTTTTTCGTAAGTATTTACGAAAAAATTATAAATTTGTTTTTTTTTTTTTAATTTTATTATTATGATAATATAATATGTATTTATTTATACCATATTAAATTATTTTTATCAATTTTTGAGTTAATACTTAATATCACTTAACTATGTAAAGCAGTGTGAATAGATTCATAGTTTAAGAAGATAATATCTTGAAATTAATCTACAAATTTTAAAATTTCATTGCGTAAAGTAAAATTTATAATATACGTAAAAGTTTTAACTCACCACGAATTATGTTTTTGAATTATAATTAATGACATCGTATCGTTATTTATCAATAAAATTTATAACTTCTTTCAAATTCAAACTTCAAATATATCTATAAAAAATAACTGTGATTTATTTAATTTTTTTTTAGTTCCAGTTTGATGTACTCACTAGGTTAGGTTATAATTATATTTATATAGATCATTAAATCTTAATTTAAAAAATAAATGTTATGAATTTCTAGTTACAAGATAATTTGTAAATTTTCGAAATTATAATTATAACGTTCATAAAAAAAAAAAAATTATCAGTATACATTTTCGACATATTTTATTTGAAAAATGAGCAGCTTATGAGGGATCACGTATTAAACTTTTAAATACCTATATTTAATCAATAATAAGTTTTTTATTGAAAAAAAAACCTTTAAAATATATAAAATCTCCTTAAATAACTAAAAAAGAATTAACATCTATCAATTATACTAGGAAATGCCAATATAAAATACTTATTGAAAAATTTTAAGCATTTATGGTTATTTATTTTTGAGTTATACTAAAAAAACAAATGTCAAAAACTGGTTTCGGATAAAAATTTCCGTTTATTCATAATTTTTTGTTTGTTTTTTCGATTATTTTATAAAGTACTGGAAGAATTTAATTACGACCCCTTCATTTTTTTAAAAAAACACGTTCACAGTCATGTTCTCTGAAAAAGTGACACGATTAGTTATATTCTTTTATTATTTTCATCTATGAATAAATAAATAATGCACTTCTAGACATACCTAAATTTTCTTCAATTGCTTAACATTATTAAATTTATAAACCTAAAAAAGGAATTTTTATGAGATAACTTACACTGTACTATAATGAATTATGAAAATTTACATATTACAAACATATTATTCAATCTTTTATGTGTAAGTATAATTTACTAAATAAAAAAATTAAAAATTAATTTTACTTGAACGCCCTGTAAAATGCTTGAATTCTCTAAAAATATAAATTTTATTCTCGATCATGTTTTAATTTTAAAGTAAATAAGTGATGTTCATTAGATATATGTAAGAACAAGTGATTACGTATTTTTTCTAAACACTGCTCAAAAGTACAAACTAAATCCAATTTTCTCATAGAAACTACTTCCAACGTTAAAAATACTATTATAAGAAAAAGGAAATATGTAAAAGTAATAAAAATCCTATAACCTTAATTATAATTTTTAATTTTAAGTATATGAGTATGTAGGTACTTATATATTTATAGTTATCAACAGTATAATTCATGATGATTAAATTATGAGTAGATGACCTATTAGCTATTAATCAAATTATTTATTCTATAGATTATAGGTAGGTACTATAATATATTAACTATTAGTATTAGTATTAGTTAATACCAAAGCCGCAATTATTATTACTATAAGTTTATTTATCTATTAATTTTAAAATAATAACTTTTAATGTTAGAGAAATATCGTATCATTTACCTATACTTGACACTTTAATATCATTAATAATTTATCGATTTTGTGGGCACAATTATTTAATTAACTTTTAAATTGTATTTTAAATTTTATGTGTTTATTTAGAATGTATATTTATTACTTGGTCAAATTAATTAAACTGTATTGAATATTTGTATGCGTATATACGTCGTCTATATACATATCCACCAAAAAGTTGATTGCCTAGAAAACAATTATTTTGTTTTCGTGATATTAAACTATGTTTTTTTATTATATAAGATATCCGTATTCCCTGTGGAATTAAAATAAACCTGTTTACTCCCTTAGCGCCCTTGTTACATATAAATATTATTTAAGATTTAATGAGTAAACAAGATGTTCACCTTCGATTAAAAATACTGAATGTAAAAAGTTATTTATTGAAAATTTGAATCGTTGTATGACCAATTATGATGAATATCTGTTATTTAGTCAATAAGTATAATGTATTCATTAATATTTAATTTTTATTTTATATACTCGTAGCTATATTTTAAGCAATTCATGCTAGGTAATCATAATTTTATATTATTTTAATTTTATAGTTCTAATACAGTGTTCTATATTATCTAAATGTATTGATTTTTGTGATAGATAACTGTAAAAATATAGTTATTTTTAATGATTTACTGAATTAGTTACTAGTGTCGAATAAAAAATAATGTAGAATATTATACTATTGTGTACCTACTTCGTATACTGTGCCTAATATTCTAATTCGCCGGTTGTCGTTTGCGCATCACTATTGTTATTTTTGACCTTTTTTGTAAGACAGTTGCGCATCGCTTATTTTTGGGTTATACATCGTTTGCGCATCGATCGTTTAAAAGGTCGTACATCATTT